TGCGGCGGTGGCGATGGCGGCGGTGGTGATGGTGGCGGCTGCGGCGGTGGCGCCGGTGGTGGCGGCGGCGGCGGCGGCGGCGGCGGTAGCGGCGGTGACGGCGGTGGTGGCGATGGTGGTGGTGGCGACGGCGGCGGCGGCGACGGTGGCGGAGGCGACGGCGGTGGCGGCGACGGGGGTGGTGAGGGTGGTGGTGGCGTCGGCGGCGGCGAGGGCGGCGGCGATGGCGGCGGCGGCGAGGGCGGCGGCGATGGCGGCGGCGGTGACGGGGGAGGTGGTAACGGTGGTGGCGACGGCGGTGGTGGCGACGGCGGCGGCGGCGACGGTGGTGGCGGAGATGGCGGCGGTAGGGGCGGAGGCGACGGCGGTGGCGGCGACGGCGGCGGAGAAGGGGGCGGTGAGGGTGGTGGCGGTGAGGGCGGCGGTGAGGGAGGGGGGCTTGGCGGTGGAGACGGCGGCGGTGGCGAGGGCGGTGGAGGGGATGGCGGTGGCAGGCCTGGTGGCGCCGGGTAAAACGAGTTTATCCAATCGGGTAGGAGCGCAGTGGACGGGACGATGGCAGGGATGCGGCACTGGAGGCTGGTAGGGGCAAGTGACAGGATTGCGCAAGGCGAGTCGCCCACCAGGACCTCAGCCGCTAGGCCCATTCGGTCAAAGCCGGCCCCCGTGACCGTGAGCGTGGCGCCACCCCCGACTGAGCCAGCTGAGGCGGAGAGAGTCAGCATGGCCGGTTCGATCCGAATGATGACATCGTCGGCGACCTCAGCGGCTCCGACGCCCGACACGACGGCGCTGATGCCAAACTCGCCCAGCGGCATCGAGCCGACGGTGCAAGTGATCATGGTAGAGCTGGCATTGATCACCGGACACGGCACTGTTCCGATGTGTACCTCCGCGGGTACGGCCAAGTCCGTTCCAATGAGGCCAAGGGTCATGCCATCGTATCCGGAAGACGACGTGAGCGATGTCACCCTCGGTGCCGGCGAATGCGTAAAGGCGAGGGGCACCGTGTTGCCCAAGGGCGAGGTGAGACTCACGTTGGCGATTCCCTCGGGGTGTGGGCCAGTGATGCAACAGACCTGCGTACTGTTGACGCTTTCGAGAGCGCAGGCGGCGTCGCCAATACTAACCGCGTTTGTCTCTGCGAGCCGCTGTCCGCTCATGCAAAGCCGGAGCCCGCCAGCAGCAGAGCCCGAGACCGCATCCAGTGCTTCCAGCAGAGGTGCGCTGGAGGAGCCGAGGAGGGTGTACGCCGACTCGATTCGGCTCGACTCGACAAGTTCATCGCTCTCGTCCCGGATGGACACCTCAACCGCTGCCAGCACATCGTCTGGGCGTGAAGCGTCTTGCGCGGCAGTCGTTGTGCAAACAAGCTGACCCGAGGCCGTCGAGGAGGTGAGGACCTCGCAGCCTGCAACGCTCACACTCGACGCGACGAGTGACACCGACATGCGCGCTGGGTTGTCGCTGAAGCCCGCGCCCATGATTGTGAGCAGCGTGCCTCCGGCGGCGGTGCCAGCAGTGGTCAGCACGCTGGAGACGCTCAGCACTCCCCGGACTATCAGCCCTGCAGGAGACAGCGCGTAGCCATGTGGCCGAATGCGGAGGAGTACAGGCTCGCCGGCCGAGGCGGAGCATGCTGGCATCGTGCAGGACACCTGGGAGGCGCTAGAGGAAACCAGTGGGCACGACTTGCCGCCGCACACGGTAACAGATGGCGCCTCGACGCCCGCATCGAGATTGGTGCCGTATAGGACGAGATTCTCGCCGGCGACGAGCGCGGCGCCAGAGAGGGAGTCGATCGCAGGGACGTCCGTTCTGAAGCCGAACGAGCATGGCGACGGAGCTGATGCGTTCCAGTTGGCGTACACAGAGAGCGTGCGCTCCCTCCACGGGCCGGTCTGCTCCCCGCCACAGAGCTGGCTCGAGTCGCCCGAGCAGGGCACGTGGCATGCCTTGTCCTCTCTCTTGTCGGTGGCCAGTGGCACGCGCTCCAAGCACCGGCATCTGTGCTGCGACACCGCAATCGCTGGCCACCCGGCGCATTCCAGCGCGCACCTTCCCAGTTCGAGTTGCCCGGTCCATTCGTACACGCGGGACTGCGCAATGGACTCGCGCACAAAGCAGCCCACAAAGGCGCTGTCCCAGTCGGCGCAAACTGCTGTGCTCTGCGTCCCCACACGGACGCTTACCATCGCGTTGGGGCTGGCCGCGGTAAGGTAGCGGCCGGGGACAGGAGTGAAGCTGATGCCTCCGGGCGAGACCTCCTCCACAGATACGGTCACCTCGCCGTCGGGCGATCGAGCGAGCGTGGAGCCGTTCACAGAGAGCAGCGGGTGGTCTCCCGAGCGGAGGTACGTCACGGTGAATATTGACGTCGCGTGTCCATCGCCTCCGCGTTGCACGAGCACCGATGAGCCGACCGCCGCGCCGATGACTGCCGCCGCCGATGTCTCACTCGCGTCCCAAGCCAGAAGGGCGCCCGACCCGACGGTCGCGCCGCCGCTGAGGCACGAGCGAGACTCGACTAGCGTCACCGTAGCCAGCACCTTTGCCTTAGGCCGAACGCCGAGCAGAGGCAGCGCCGCCTGCGTGGCGCAGCTCGCCCACGGCGCGAGCAGAGAGAGCCGGAGCACCACCATACTTTCATTGCGGCTCGTCACCTCTGCCGTCAGGCCGGCGTACGTGTCCCCCACTAATGGCAGGAACGCCGCCTCGATATCCGCCGCGCTTGCCGAACCGGCGGCGATGGGCAGCGAGCGTCGCCCCGAGAGGACGAGCTCTATTGAGGCGGCTGGGTCGGCTAAGATGCAGTCTGGCTCGAGGCACGAGAGGACAATCTCCTGCACGGGGGCAGCTGCCAAACTCTGTGCGAGCGTGATGCGCTGCACTTCGTGCGTCACCGTCTCGCGATGGAGCTGCGATGAGACGGTGCTCGCGTGCTCGAGGCGCGATGTGGCAAATTCCTCGCACGACGCGGCGGCGGTCAGGTCATACGCGGCGACATGCCGCGCGGTCTCGCACACGTTGTCATTCTTGAACCTCAAGGCTGCCGGCACGCAAATCTGCTCACGATGAGCCCCTGTCGCCCTGCCATCGACGGCTCTGCAGCAATGTGCCCGATCTGTGATGGATGAGCACGCGGTCTGCGAGCCGAGCATGACCCGACTGACGTAGGAGGTGTTGGCAGGGGCCACGCCTCGTGCAGGACACGCGGCGACGTCGGAGACTCCACGCCGGTACTCTGACGCCGCAGCCTCCGAGTCGATGCACACTGCACCGTATTCGAACGTTGTCGTCGCTGGCACGCAGAGCTTACCGTCGCTGGAGATGGACCCGCAACATTCAGCGCGGTCAGTGATGTCACTGCACGAGCCCAACCGTTTGATGCGCGCGCGCAGTCGCCGGCTCGGCAACTCAAGGCTATGCGGCGCCTCGAGGTGCAGCCTTGACGCAAGGCCGCATGTGCCGGCCGCGCCCCCCTCACAGCGCACCTCCAGGTAGTACGAGCCGTTGGCGACCACGGGAAGTCTGGCAGTGACTGGCCCATGAGCCAGAGCGTCCACCCGCCACGGCTCGGAAGCTCTCACCTCGGAGGTTCCAACCGCAGCGATGAGGCTGAGACCGCTGGCAGCCTCGGAGCCCGACCATCGAAGCTCGGACGCGTGTGAGAGCTTCAGTGAGAAGGAGACGTGGCCGGAGATCGGCGAGACGAACCAGCCCGCGAGGGTGGAGCCTACGACTGCACTCGGCGCCGCCCACCCCGGAGTCTCAAAGCTGTCGAGGCGGATGGAGTCTCCGTCAGAGCTGGTCCACATGACGCCGCGTTCTCCCTGCCAGGGGCCGTCGCCTCCAGCGGCGGAGGCCCGCTGCTGTACGATGCACGAGACGATCCCAGGTTTGAGCTCTGTGACCTGGCAGGTGGAGCCACCGACATCGACCGCCAGCGCCGAGGGCTCGGCGCCAAACCCGGATCCGGTCACAGTAAGCGCGGTGCCGCCCGTGACGTAGCCCGATGGCGGAGAGACGCTTGTGACTTTTGGGAGAATCTCGAGATCGAAGGTTCGTCTCTCTGCAATGTCGATGCTGCGATCGACGAGGAAGTGCCTGAGCGCCCAGCCGCGCCCAGCCTCGCTGGTGTCGAGCAGCGACACGTTGAAGAAGCCAGACGCGACATTCTCGCTAGCCTCGAGGCGGCATCCAAACGCAGAATCGCTCGAGTACGCGAGCGCAACCTCAGACCCTGCCGGCCGGGAGGCGCATCCGACGACCGCTCGTGTTGAGGACGACGTCAAGCTCGCGCGAAATGCGGGCGGTCCCACCGCGCCGCCGTTGATGCCGCGGCCGCCGAGGCGGAGGAGGCCGCCCGGCAGAATGCTGGGCGTGAAGATATCTGTAAGCCGCGGCGCGCCTCCTAGGTCGAACTGAACAAAGCAGCCGTGGTTGGCGCCACCAACGTGCCAGCAGTCGGCGTGGCGGCCGCCCTTTACCAGCCATAGCGGCACGAGGTGCAGGTTCTGACCTGGCGCGTAAGCCTCGTCCGGTTCAGGCAGGCCATCTGGCAGCAACGTGCAGTGCAGGCGGCGGTTGCTGGAGGTGAAGCCCTCGAGCTCGCACCGGCCGGTGCCACCGACGCCCAGCAGAATAGTCGGCGGGTTGAATGGATCGCCCAGGTTTGCCCCGGAAATGTAGAGCGAGGCGCCGCCGCCCGGCGAGAGGTGGGTCAGCTCACGCTCTGAGGGGCCAGTGACCCGGTTGACGACGGCAGCGTGAGGTCCGGAGAGGAAGAGGAGGAGGAGCAGGCCTGGCGTGGCCTGTGCTGCCTGGCGCATGGCTGTGCACGCACGTCCAGCGGCGCGCGGTTTGTCGTTTCGCTGTTACATTTCGCTGGACGCGTCATTCGATCTCGGGTTTCAGGTCACAAAAGCGACTACATGTACCTCGTACTTCCGTTCGTCCGACTCATCCCGCCACCCTCGCGCCTCGGCATACAAGGGGCAAGGCCATGGCCCATGGGACCCCAAATGCTACCAACATTCAACATAATTACTCATAGAGGTTAGAGCCGGGTCGCGACATACCATTTTTAACATCTTGAGCTCGTATGTATCGTATGGATGTTTGTTCGATCGACGTTTAAGGCCAACACGCACTCGCAACCCTCTCGCGCCCCTCCACGCTCACAGTCACAGCCACACTCAGTCCCTTTTGGACTCTCGCTGCTCCCCGGCCGGGTCGAGCGCGCCGGCCAGCTCGACCGAGTACGAGGCGAAGAAGGAGGCGACGCAGAGCACGAGGCAGTACTGCTGCAGCCCGCCTGCGTCCGCCTCGGAGAGCGAGAGGACGCGCCGCGCGGGCGAAGCCGGGTGGAGCAGGAAGGCGGCGGGCAGCGGGAAGACGCTCGTGACGGCGCATGCGCCCTTGAAGAGCGCGCTTCGCCAGCCGACCCGGTACGAGAGCGGCGAGGCTGGCGGGGCCGTCACGCACAGCCGCATCCAGAGGGCCATGTGCGCGATCGCCGCTGCGAAGAAGACGGCGGCGGCGCTCTGGTGCAGCACCGAGTCGGCCCCGAGTCGCGCCTCCCCGCGCATCACCGCGGGCACGTCGCGCTGCAGCGGCACCGCGCCGACGACCGCGAGTCCGGCAAAGGCGGCGGCGCTGGTCGCCACGAGGCCGGGGTGCGCGGCGCCGGTGACGCGGCGGAGGTCTCGGAAAAACGCCGGCGCAACGCAGCCAAAGAGGAGCGACACGGCGGGGAACGCGACCTGACCGAGGGTTCTGCCCGGGCCGTCGTACATCAGCAGCGAGATTGGAGGCGTCACGACGCGGCCACCGCCCACAGAGACCTATCAGACATATCGTGGATCGCTGGCATGTCGAGCTTCCCGGGAGCACGGGCTCTTGGCCGAACCGGCGGAGAGAGTGCGTAGGCGGCAGCGATGGCGGTGGAGGCGACAAGGAGGATGCACGGCGGCAAGCAGGCGATCGGCCGCATCGCAGTCAGTTCTTCGGTTCTTGTTCGTGCCAGTCCGAGCCAGTCAGCTGTGGAGGGCTTGTTGTGTCCGGCATACTCTGGGTTCGCCCCTTGGCTGCGGAGGGTGTGTCCGTGCTCTATCTTCTCTCTCTCTATATCTTCTCTCTCTCTGTGTCTTCTGTCTCTCTTTCTCTCTCGCTCTCTCTCTCTCTCACTCTCTCTCTCTCTCTCTCTCTCTCTTTTCTCTCTCTCTCTCTCTCTCTCTCTCTCTCTCTCTCTCTCTCTCTCTCTCTCTCTCTCTCTCTCTCTCTCTCTCTCTCTCTCTCTCCCCCCCCCCCCCTGCAGGTGAAAAATCGCACGACCTCCCACCTTACCCTTGCCTCGAATCGCAAAACGATCGTTCCGGAAGAGAGAGAGAGAGCCGCGGGGTTGCTCGGAGTACTTTTCCCTCGAAGAGCACTTGGAGACCTAAGAGAGAGATTTTGAGCAATACCATTATACCAAACAACTCTAACACTCACACGTCATTTGGGGCCTGGAGCCCTGGCATTTAAAGGTTGTTGGCCCTGTTCACGCGCGCGCGAGACGTGCAGACAGGGTTGCCAGGTGAGAGCGAATGGCGCGGTTCACGCCTCGCACAACAGAGAGAGAGATGCGCTCTGCATGGTGGGACATAAAAGAGAGCGAGTATTTGGGCGAGTAGGCCGTGCGGTCGACGCTGCCGCGCGCGACTTTGCGCGCGAGGCGGCGCAGCTTGAGAACGGCGGTGGGCGAGAAGCCGCCGAACGTTGAGACCTATTCCCCCCCCCCCGTCCCCCTCGGACACGTCCCTCCCTGTCCTCTCGACTCGTTCCTCTACTTATATACATACTCTTGGAGCACTTGGAGTGCAGTCGGTAACCTCACATACTCGAGTAGTAGTTTTTTGGCGTTCCGGTGCCTACAAAAAATATCCGAGATCTGGAGCTGACCACAAGGGTTTGTGGCGATCACTGACTTACAGCGGACATAGTGGGCCGCGGACATAATGACCTTAAATACATAATAAGAGAGAACTGGGAGAGAGAGAGAACTGTTGTCATAATACAGTCGTAAGTAGTTTTGTCAAATCTCTGAACAAACAACAAGAAACCTCTGTGAGGGTTTTTTGTTGGTTTTCAAAAATGTCTTCCCACCAATCTTCTCACACTCTCTCTCAGCTATCTCACACAAACAAAGTCGGTAACGCTCGGCCTGTGACATCGTCCCTCAGCGGCCCAACGAATTTTAGAATTTTCGTGGTGTACTCGCGAAAAAAAATTTTTTGTTGGCGGCGCCTTGGCATCGCCATCAGCTCGGCGCGGCGGGTGAGGGAGGGGTGAGAGATGTGCTCAGAGAGGTCATATTTCGACCTCAACAATGCAGCTGCACACCTCTCCTCGCCAACTGCAGCGTGTCGCCTCTGCAACGGCAACGGGCGCGGCGCCCGAATCCTTCGCCGCTCAGGCATGCACTGCTACGCTCGACGCTGTTTTCCGCGAGCACCGCCCTCAGCCCCCACGCCCTCTCCCGATCCCGATGCTGCACAGGTGCAGGTGCTGCCCACATACCAGGCCAGCGGGCTGCGAGGCATCTGCCTGCAGCACCTCCGGCTGGCCGCGTTTGCCGCTCGACGACAGCACTCTCCGCCTCCGCCGCTCGCGACGGCCGCCTCCCTGGCGGCCGACTCTGTCTGCCCGGCCCCCGCCGCCACCGTGGCGAGCGTGCAGATCGAGGTCGAGGCACTGCTCGGCGCGCCGCTCCCGTCGGCCGACCGCGGCCTGATGGAGCTCGGCCTCGACTCGTTTGACATCGAGGAGCTCGCGCAGCGGCTCGCCAGCCGGCACCCTCTCTCCGCCCTAGCGCCCTCGGACCTCTTTGGCGCGCCGACGGTCTCGGCGCTCGCCGCGCTCATCAGCCAGCGCACCGCTGGCGACGGCTCACGGCCATCGGCGGACCCTCCTCACGCGGCGGGTCCCGCGGTGCACGCCGCTGCCCGCCTCACCAGCCTCGCCGCCTCGCTGCCGCCCGCGAGCGGGCCACGCGGCACGCGAGAGATGGCGGCGTCGGGCGCGGACGTGGTGAGCGAGGCGCCGGCGGAGCGCTGGTCTCTCCCCGCCACCGACGCGGCCGCGGGCCGGATGCGCCACGGCGCGATCTTGAGCGGCGTCGAGCTCTTCGACGGCGCCTTCTTCGGCGTCTCGCCCGCCGAGGCGGCGGCAATGGACCCGCAGCAGCGGCTGCTGCTCGAGCGCGGGTACGAGGCGCTGCACGGCGCAGGCCTCGCCCGCCACGAGCTGCTCGGCCTCTCGACGGGTGTCTTTCTCGGAGCGAGCTACAGCGACTTTGAGCGCCTTCTCCACGGCAAGGCTCCGCCCTCCGCGTACGCCGCCACCGGCGGCAGCCTCGCCGTCGCGTCGGGCCGCCTGTCGTACACCCTCGGCCTGCAGGGGCCTGCTGTCTCGTACGACACTGCCTGCTCGGCCGCCCTCACAGCCAGCCACGCCGCCACGAGTGCGCTGCGGCTCGGCGAGTGCGAGAGCGGGCTGGTGGCCGGCGTCAGCTTGATGCTGCTCCCCGATGTGAGCCACAGCTTCGCTGTCGCGGGCATGCTGTCGGCGCTCGGCCGGTCCCACACCTTTGACCGCCGGGCCGACGGGTACGCCCGTGGCGAGGCGTGCTGCGCTTGGCTTCTGCAGGGAGGCGCGACGGCTCGCCGGCCGGTCGCCTCGGCTCTGGGCAGCTGCGTGCGGCAGGACGGCAAGAGCGCCAGCCTCACCGCGCCCAACGGGCTCGCGCAGCAGTCGCTCCTCGAGGCGGCGCTCGCCGACGCAGCTGTGGTCGCCGACAGCCTCGCCTGCTCGGAGGCGCACGGCACGGGCACGTCGCTCGGCGACCCGATCGAGGCGCGGTCGCTCGCCGCGGCGGTGCTCGCCCGGCGCGGCGGCGGCGAGGCGCTCGCGGTGGGCAGCATCAAGGCCAACTGCGGCCACGGCGAGCCGGCGGCGGGCGCGGGCGGCCTGCTGCGCCTGTTGCTTGGTCTGTGCGGCGCGGAGGCGCCGCCCAACGCGCAGCTGCGGGCGCTCAACCCGCTCGTGAGTGCGGCGGTGGCGGGCAAGGCGTGCGTGCTGCCGACTCAGCTGGCGGCGCTGCGCTCGACGGCCGCGGCGGCCGGCTCGCAGGAGGGCGGCGTGAGCTCGTTCGGGTACAGCGGCACGATTGTGCACGCGGTGCTGCGCGTCACGCCCGGCGGAGAGGCGCTTGTGGCGCTCGTCCGGCGGGCAGAGAGCGGCCCGCGGTACCGGCGGCTGTGCTACAGCCTCGGCCCCGCCCGGGCTGCTGCAGAGGCGCCGGGGAGACGCCGCCTGTACGAGCTCACGTGGCGCTCGGTCGGACTCGCTCCTCCGCAGTCGCCCGACGTTGTCATTACTTGCGCCGCCATCGGCGATCGGCTGTCGGCGTCGCCGCGTGCTGCCGCCGCACTCCCTCTCGAGCGGCTGGCCTCCCCGCACCTCTCCCGCCTCTCTCTGTGGCTTCCGCCCGCCGGCAGCTGTGCACCGCAGGTCGACGCGCTGGCCGTCTTGGTCGAGCTCCTGCGCACCCTCGTGGCACTGGTGGGCGAGGGCAGCCCTCGCCGACCCGCGCCGCAGCTCCAGCTCGTCGCCTCCACCTCGAGCCTCGCGGTCCCTCTTGCGCGCGCAGGACAGGTGGCGCACGCCGGCCTGCTGGGCTTCTCCCGGGTCGTCTGGCGGGAGGCTCCCAGCCTCCGGTTCGGGCTCGTCGACTGCGCCCTGCGGCTGCGGCGCGGGGAGAAACCTCAGCTGTGGCTTCGCGAGGCGGAGGGCTCGCACGTGGCCGTGCAAGGCCGTCGGGGCTTCAGCGCTGGCCTCTGCTCGAGCAACGTCTCGTCGCGGCGGAGGGGGAGGGAGCAGGGCAGCTCAACGCCAGAGCAGCAGCTCGTCACCGGCGGCATGGGTGGCCTCGGTCTCCAGACCGCCCTGATGCTGGCGCGCCGGCGCGCTGGCGGTGCGGAGATTGTGCTGCTCTCGAGGAGCGGCGCGGTGGCGCACACAGGTCAGGGTCTTGAGGCGACCCTCAGGCTGCTACGCACACGCGCGAGGGCCCTGAGCATCCTCGCTGCTGATGTCGGGTGCGCGACAGACGTGACCTCTGCCCTTGCGGCGGCCCCGCGCGTTGGCCGCATCGTGCACGCAGCGGGAGTCCTCCAGCGGTCGTTGCTCCAAACCACGGGCCGTGCCGAGCTGTCGATCGCCTTCCACGCGAAAGCGCGCGGCTGCTTCCTGCTGCACGCAGCCACGCAGCGCCAGCGCATCGGCGGTTTGCTGCTCTTCTCCTCTGTTGTGGCCGCCCTCGGCAACATCGGGCAGGCCGGCTACGCAGCCGCCAACTCCTTCCTCGACGAGCACGCGCGTGGGCGAACGCAGCGCGGCCTCGCGGCAGCGAGCGCGCAGCTGCCGTTGATTGAGGGGGTGGGCATGGCGGCGGCGGAATTCCGCAAACAGGGCCTGCGAGGGGCGGCGGTGCTCCGAGGCTTTGAGCCTGTGCCACGCGTTGCCTTGGCAGCGTGCCTCGGGCAGCTGCTGCGCGCACTTGGCAACGGCTCTGTCCTCACGCCGCTGCTGTCGCCCGACGCTTTGCACGCTCACGGTCCCCAGCCTCCGCCCTCGCCACGCCACGCAGCCGATCCGACCCCTTACGGGGCGGAGGCGCGGCGCGGCGCGCTCCAGTCGGCCATTCTGGCCGTCGTGACCGAGATCTCCGGCTCCGCTGTCGCGTGGGACGCGCATTCGGCGTTTCTCGAGTGCGGCCTAGCTTCGTTGGATCTGGTCGAGGCTGCCCACGCGCTCGGGAGGAGAACAGGCGTTCGCCTCGAGCCGACGACTCTCTTCGCTCGCCCCAACATGGCATCGTTGCTCGCCTATTTGCTGGAGCGCACCGGCTCTCCAGCCGTCGGCGCCGCTGCGGGCGCCATGCGGCGCAGCGGCAGCCTGCCGGTGTCCGCTTCTGTCTGCCACTGCGCGGCGCGGGTCCCAGGTGGGGCAGGAAGGCGTCATGTTTGGCCCCTCGTCGCGGCGAGCGGCGACGCAGTGTCCAAGCTTCCCTTGCGCCTCGAGCTCGCGCAAGCCGCTCCGCACGCTCGCGGTTCTGCGGCTCAATTCTCGTTTGCAAGCCGCGGCGCCTTCTTGTCGGGCATCGGTCGCTTCGACAGTGCGTTCTTTGGAATTGCACCGCTCGAGGCCGCTTCCATGGACCCGCGCCAGCGCATGCTGCTCGAGGTTGGCTACGAGGCTTTTCACGCGGGCGGCCCGGCGAGCAAGGCTCCGCGTGCCGACGGGGTGTTCCTCGGGCTCGAGGCGAGCGAGTGGGAAGGCTTGAGGCAAGGCGCCTTGCGGCCGCATGCGCTTACAGCAACCTCGTCCGCCGTCGCGGCGGGGCGCCTCAGCTACTGTCTCGGCTTGCAGGGCCCCTGCTGGACGTGTGATGCTGCGTGCGCATCGTCGCTAGTCGCCCTCCATTGCGGCTTGCAGAGCTGCGAGGCGTCTGATGCCGACCGTGCGCTTGCTGCCGGCGCAAACCTGCTGCTGCTGCTTGACGCATCAGTCACGATGGGGAGCGCAGGCATGCTAGCGCGAGACGGGCGATGTAAGACGTTCGATGCGCGTGCGGATGGCTACGTGCGGGCCGAGGCGTGCGTCGCCGCCGTTTTGGCGACGAAGTTTGTCGCAGTGGAGATGTGCTGCATCCTCGGCAGAGCGGTGCGGCAGGACGGGCGCAGCGCCAGTCTGACCGCGCCCAACGCGGCCGCGCAGGAGACGTTGCTCAACGCTGCCGGCGCAATGGCACCACTAGAGCAGCGGATCGGTGACCGAGGGCTTGAAGCCCATGGCACCGGCACCGCTCTCGGTGATCCGATCGAGATGGCGGCGGTTCGCGCTGTCGACAGGGAGAGGGACTCGCCGCCTCTGGCTGTGGGCGCCACAAAGGCTAGCTTTGGGCACTCGGAGGCGGCTTCAGGGCTGGGGGGGCTGCTAAGCATCTTGGCGATGCTGGATCAGGCAGGAGGCGCACCGAATGCGCAGTTGCGACGGATCAACCCGCTCATCAGAGATGGCCAAGGCGTCAACGAGCACCCAACTTCATTCAACACTCAGCGGGACAGGAGGGTAGACATTGTGACCGGCGTGAGCTCGTTCGGCTACAGCGGCACCATTGCGCACGCATTGGCGCGACGGGCGCAGCCCATAGGCTCGATAAATCCTTTGTGTTTGGGCGGCCTGCGCGCGCCGGCCGCGTTCCGCCGCCGGCGCTTTGCCTGGGGCGAGGCGGCGCACCCCTTGCGGCAGCACCGCTGGCCAGCCGCCGAAGCGGCGACGCTGAGCTTCCGCTCGCCTGCGGACGGGGTGCTGGCCGCGCTGGTCGCAGACCACCGGGTCCGCGGCCGCGTCGTCTTCCCCGCGGCCGCTCACCTCGAGATGGCGCGCGCTGTGTGCTGCGGGGACGCGGCCGGCGGCGCCTCGTCCACGCGCGCCACGCTCCGGCAAGGCGTCTTTGTGCAGCCCTTGCCACTCGACGAGCCGCTCGGGCTGTGGGTGGGCTGCGCCGTGGTGGAGGGCGCGATGGCGCGGGTCGAGACGCGCAGCTGGCGCGAGGCGGACCAGCGCGAGCAGGCGGGGGCGCCGCACGAGACGGCCCTGCACATGAGCGCAGACGTCGGTGCGGCAGGACGGCAGCGCTCGCCGGCGGCGGCGCGTCTGCGGACGCGTCTGGCGGCGGCGTTGTGCCCCGCTGCTGCGTACGCGTCGCTCCGCTCCTCCGGGCTCGAGTACGGCCGCTCTTTCCGAGTGCTCGAGGCGGCATGGGCTGGGGCGGCGGCGGCATCAGCCCTGCTCCATCGCCGCCGGTACGGCGAAGGCACGCTCGTGCATCCGGCAGACCTCGACGGCGCGCTGCAGCTCTCTGCTCTCCTCACCGCGCAGCCGGCTCGCGGCGGGACAGCCTTGCCATTCGCGGTGGAGGAGGCGGGCCTCGGCGGCCAAGCGGCGAGCTTGCTTCTGGCGGTGGCGTCCGCCTCCGGGCCCGACACCGCCGCCGTGTGGCTCTGCCATCGCGGTGGCGCGAGCGAGGGCGCGGACAGCGCTGGCGGCGGCCTCGCTGGCGGCGGCTGCCTGGCTCGGCTGGTGGGGCTCCGCAGCCGGCAGCTCGTCGACGGCGCTGGAGCGGGCGAGGCGCAAGGGCACCTCTACCAGACGGCGTGGCGGCGCTCAGACCTCGGCCCCTCGCCCGGCCAGCCGAGCGCCGCGCTGCTCGCGGTGCGGCCGGCGACCCGAGATGCAGCGGCAGCGGCATCGCCGCCTCCGGTCGGTGGCGCTGCGCGCCTGCTCGGCCAGTTCAGCGCAGGCGGGATGCTGCACGTCGACAGCTTGGCGGCGCTCGAGGCTGGCTTGCGGCACGTGGTCGCTCTCGCGGCGGCGGCTGCGCCAGCTGGCCTGCGGCTCCTCACCCTCGGCGCCCAGCAGGCGTCGCCACGCGGCGCGATGCGCATCACGGACGCGGGGCTGTGGGGCCTGTCGCGTGCCGCGCGGCAAGAGTCGATGGGCAGCAGCTTGGCGTGCACAGACTGGTCGCTCGAGTCGCAGGGCGGCGGCGGCACTGTAGGCGTGCTCGCGGCTCTCGAGGCGCTTGCCGCGGCAGGCGAGCTCGAGACGGCGGTGTGCACGGATGGCCGCGACGTCCTCGCGCCTCGCCTCGCCCGCGCCTCCGACTCGACATCGCGGCGGCCAGCCTGGCTGCGCCTCGGTGCACGCGGCGCGCTGAGCGCGCTCGTGGTCGAGCCACAGCCGCCGTTCCGCCTGCCCCCCTCGCGGGGCGAGACCGAGCTCAGCGTGCGCGCCGTCGGCCTCAACTTCAGAGACGTGCTCAACGTGCTCGGAGAGTACCCGGGCGACCCCGGGCCTCCTGGCAGCGACTGCTCCGGCGTCGCGGCGGGCGCTGGTGCCACCGGCGCTCGGCTGGGCCTGGCCACTGGCGCGCTCGCGTCGCTGGCGCGGGCTGACTCGCGGCTCGTAGTGCCCAAGCCGGCGGCACTCACCTTCGAGCAAGCCAGCAGCCTGCCCACCGCGTGGATGACGAGCCACGTCGCCCTCTCTGACTCCACGCCGTCCGCGCGGAAGCGATGCCTGTTGCACGCCGGCGCGGGCGGTGTGGGGCTTGCGGCGACCGTCTACGCGCGCTGGCTGCGGCTGCGGATCAGCGTGACGGCCGGCGCGCGAGCGAAGCACCGCTTCCTACGCCAGACCGGCGCTCTCGAGCAGTGGAGCTCGCGCAGCGGCGGCGCCTTTGCGTGGGGCGGCGCCTCGCAGCTGCGCGGGGCGCGGCTGGACGTGGTGCTGAGCAGTCTGTCGCGCGACTTCACGGCCTGCTCGTGGGCACTGCTCTGCGAGTCGGGCCACTTTGAGGAGATCGGCAAGCGCGGCGTGTGGAGTCGCGGCCGTGCGGCGGGAGCGGTGCCCCACGCACGATTCCACGCGATCGCCCTCGACAGCCTGGCCGAGCGCGAGGCGCCGCGGGCACGCCTCACGCTGCTCGTGCTCCGGTCGCGTGCGACCGCGCGGGTGGCCGTCGGCCTGCCACGCGTCAGCTTCTGGCTGGAGCAGGCTGTGGCGGCGGCGTTCCGCTGGCTGCAGAGCGGGCGGAGCATCGGCAAGGTCGTCGTGCGGCTTCGCGCTCCTCCCTCGACGCCAGCAGCGCAAGCGTCGCACCTTCTGAGCGGCGGCACGGGTGCGCTCGGCCAAGCCACGGCGGGCTGGCTTGCACAGCGCGGCGCGACGCGGCTGATATTCGCGTCGCGCGGCGGCGGCTCGGTCAGCAGCGGCCCGGCCGGGCTGCCTTCGGGGAGCGCTGCGCTCTTTGTGCGGTGCGATGTGGCGCAGCCCCGGGAGGTGGAGCGCGCCCTCGCGCTGGCTGCGAACCCGCCGGCGGCGCCGTTGCGGGGCGTGTGGCACGCGGCGGGCGTGCTCGCCGACGGGCTCCTGGCGCAGCAGGGCGCGAGCGGGCTGCGTCGCGTCAGCGCGAGCAAGTCGCACGGCGCGGCGCTCCTACACCGCGCCGGCTCCGCCTTGCCGCTGCAGGCGTCGGTCCTCTTCTCGTCGATAGCGGCGCTCTTTGGCGGCGCCGGCCAGGCCAACTACAGCGCGGCGAGCAGCGGCCTCGACGCGCTCGCGCGGGGCGTGCACGCGCGTGGCCGGGCGGCCCTGAGCGTGCAGTGGGGCCCTTGGGCATCCTCGGGCATGGCGGCCGCCGACAACGTGCGCACGAGGCTGCAGGCGTCGGGGATCGGGCTGCTCGGCATCGCGGAGGGCGGCCCCGCGCTCGCTGCGGCGCTGTCGCGCGACGCGCCGCCGGTGCTGGCGGCGGTGGCTGTGCGGTGGGACCGCTTCCTGGCCGGGCGCGCGACGCCGGCCTTGCTGAGCGCGTTCGGCCGCCCAGGAGGCGCCGGGGGGAAGGCATCGAGGCGAGCAGAGGCGACGGGGGCGGTCGCGGCGGCGACGCGCAGCCTGAGCGTCGCCGAGGTGCTTGAGCTGGTGCACCGCACGGCCGGCGCCACCGCCGACGCGGACACGCCTCTGCTCGAGGCCGGCGTCGACTCGCTCGGCGCGGTCGAGCTGCGCAACCAGCTGCACGCCGCGGTGGGCGGCCGAGCGGCGCTGCCAAGCACGCTCGTCTTCGACCACCCGAGCGCACGGCAGCTGGCGGCGTACCTGTCGGACGGCGCCACGCCCGAGCCGGCTGCGCCGCTGCACCGCGCCCCGGCTGCGCACGAGCGAGGCCGAGTCGCCGTGCTCGTCACGGGCGCGAGCGCGGTGCTGCCCTCTGGCGCCGCGGGCGCGGAGGCGGTGTGGCGGGTCGCCATGAGCGCGGCGGACCTGATCTCGGAGGTGCCCGCCGAGCGGTGGCCGCTCGGCCCTCGGCCCGACTCGGCAGCCGGCGACGCGGTGTCGAGCCGCGTCCGGCACGGCGGCTTTGCGCGCGGCGTCGAGCTCTTCGACGGCGCCTTCTTCGGCGTCTCGCCCGCCGAGGCGGCGGCGATGGACCCGCAGCAGCGGCTGCTGCTCGAGCGCGGGTACGAGGCGCTGCACGGCGCGGGCGAGCGGCGCGAGGGGCTGGCGGGCAGCCTGACGGGCGTCTTCGTCGGCATCGCGTCGACGGACTTCGCCGCCGCGCTCGCCTCGCAGAGCGTGGGCGGCGTCTACGCGGCGACGGGAGGGGCGCACTCGGTCGCCTCGGGCCGCCTGTCCTTCGCGCTCGGGCTGCACGGCCCGTGCGCGGCGTACGACACGGCGTGCTCGTCGGCGCTGGTGGCGGGCCACGCGGCGCTCCGGTCGCTGCAGCTGGGCGAGAGCTCCGCCGCGCTGGTGTCGGCTGTCAACGTGATGCTGTCGCCGCGGGTCGGGCTCACGTTTGCCGTGGCGGGCATGACGTCCGTGCTCGGCCGCAGCCACACGCTCGACAGGCGCGCCGACGGGTACGCGCGGGCGGAGGCGTGCACCGCAGCGGCGCTGCGTCCGGCCGGGTCGCAGCCGGGCGGGCCGCACGAGCCGGTCGCGACGCTGAGCGGCAGCTGCGTGCGGCAAGACGGGAGGAGCGCCAGCCTGACGGCGCCGAACGGCCTGGCCCAGAGGGCCTTGATATCGTCCGCGACTGCGGACGCCTGTCGCACTCCTCACTCGGTCGCTGGCTTTGAACTCGCCGCTGCCGGCTCGCTGCTCGGGGACGCCGTTGAGACGTTGTCGCTTTGTGGAATCTTGGACGCCCCTTGTACCGCACCCGACTCGTCGACGAGCGTCGCCGCCGTCCTCACTGGAATCAAGGCCAGTGTCGGCCATGCGGAGCCCGCGGCTGGGCTTACCTCGCTCCTCGCCTCGCTGGCCTCGCTGCGTGTCGGGCAGCACGCACCCCACGCGCAGCTTCGAAGCCTCAACACCAGCTGCATCCAATCCGACTCCGAGACCGTTTCCATGTGCCTCCCCGTAGCATGCTCACCAGTCCGAGCTGGTCCATCTCCCCCTTCCGGAGGGACGAGCGCCTTTGGCTTCTCGGGCACCATTGCTCACAGCGTGGCCGAGGCCCTCAGTAGCCCCATTCTTGGCTCCCCTTTGCCGGCGGCCCCCCGACTCTTCCGGAGGGGTATCGCGTGGAGTGTGCCCTCGAGCGATTATTCTCGCCCCGCTGGCGAGGCAGTAGGGCATCACGTCACTCAAGACCAGGCCGGCGCTACGCCGCGCGCGCCGCATCCGGACGCCCTCGCGGTGATCCGCCGCGGGCTGCGAGATCTCGGCGCCTCTCAAGACCTCGACATACCGTTGGCGGCCGCGGGTCTGGACTCGAGGGCGCTGCTCTCGTTGTGGCACGCAACCATCGCCCCCGTCTGTGGCGGCGTTGTGCCGAGCGCGTTCTGGAGGCTGCTGGCAGACGAGGAGTCCACAGGCCGCGGTGTTGCTGCCGCGCTGCAAAAGACCATCGAGCTCACCCAGCCCGCCGGCGAGCAAGGGGCTGGCCAGGTGGAGGAGCGGCCGCCCGAGCTGCAGCCTCGGCTGAGGGTCGAGACGCTCGCACGGCCCTTTGACCCGCTGGACACCCAGTCCTTTGGCGCAGTGCGCGGGCCGGTCGCCCCCTCGGGGTGCGTCTTCTATATCCCTGGCCTTCCCGGCGTCTGCCAGCTCGAGTTTGTCCAGCTCTGCCAGCACCTGGCCGACGTCACCGTGGTGGGACTGCCGTATGCCGCCGCCATGGCGAGACCGGCGCTAACGATGGAGTCGCTGGCCTTCTACCTCGTGAGTGAGATGCGCGCTGTACAGCCCGAGGGCCCGTACAAGGTGGCGGGCTTCTCGCTGGGGGGCTGCATCGCAATGGCGGTTTGCCGTGCTCTCGAAGAGATTGGCCACAGCGTGCACTCCCTCGTCCTCCTCGACCCGATCTTTCCGAGCTCCTCGTGGGTGCCCCGGCCGTGCTTGAAGCTTGCGCTTCGCTCGTTGCAGCAGCCGGCCGCGCCTTCACACGGGGAGGGCGCTCTCGCGTGGGACGTTGTGCTACGGCTCGCGTCGGCCGCTGCCGCGTCGCCACCTTTGGACACGCCAACACTGCTCGTGCATGCCGTCGGGCCACTGACGCTCCCCGGCGGGCCCCGGACGTCGGCGGGTCTGGCAGCCGGCTTTGATCGTGGGGACGCGGTGCTTGCGAGTGCAAAGCGCCTGCGGCGCGTCCGCGTCAGTGGCAGCCACGCGTCCTTCCTCACCGATCCTGCAGAGGCCCGGCGTGCGCTGGCCGCCGTCCGGGAGTTCCTGCAGCAAGGCGCTTCTCAGTGGAGCGAGGAAGACGAGGCGCTGGCTTGGGCCGTGGAGTTTCTGAGCGGGCAGCGCCCCGGAGGAGACTCTGAGGCTATCGCCGACACGCCGCTCGCGCAGCTCGGCCTCTCCTCCTTTGCGCTCCGCGCGCTAGTCGGTGGGGCCGTCCAGCGGCTCTCCTCCGGGTCCGGTGGCGGCGCCGCCTCCTATGGCAGCGCTGCGCTGACTGCTGGGCTCGAGGACTTTTCAGGGAGCGTCCGCGACTTTGTGGCGAGGCTTGCCGCCGCGGCGGGCAGTGCGCCTTCCGCCGCAGAGTGGTCTCATGAGATGCCACCGCCGTTGACGCCGACATCAGCCTTTGAGCCCGTCGACCCGAGCGAGGCACGCCGACACTACTCCCTGCGCCCAAGCGCACGTTCCCGGCGCTGCTACGGCCAGGGCACCGTCCTGGTGCTCGCCGCGGAGGGCGGGTCGGAGCTCCTGTTTGAGTCCGTCTGGCCCAGCGCCGTCACCCTCCGCCACGGCCCCCGCTACGAGGCGAGGCAGAGGGGCGAGCGGTCCCTCCTCTTTGTGTGCCGGCCTGGCTCGCTGGAGGACTACCGCCGCTGCTTTGCAGACCCTCGATGGGGGCAGGTCGCAGCAATCTCGCTGGTCCTCAACTGCTGGCAGCCGCCCTCGGACAGCGCCGCGCTCGGAATCCTGAGGGCGAGCGTCCTGTCCCGGCGGATTCACCTCGCGGCGCCCGCGAGGTACCTGCGGCTCGCGCCCGAGGGCACGCAACCGAGCGCCTCCCGTATCGCCGACCTCGACGCGGCGATCATGCGGCCCCTTGCCGAGGTCGTGCAGCTCACTGGGCCGGACCGCACCCCCGTGAGCAGCGCGGCGCTGGGCGCGGCCGCCTTGCGCGTGGCCCGCGCCAGCCGTCCGCCGCCGCTGGTGCAGCTGCGCGCCTCGGCGGGCCCGGGCGGCTCGCTGGTCGCGTCCGCGACGAGCAGCCGGCTTGCGGGCGTCGAGCAGGAGGCGCACGCCGCGAGCTCCTGGTCCCTGGTCCACTTCCGCGGCGACGAGGCGCCGCGAGCGAGCAGCAGCGCCTCGGCCGGCGTCTCGCATCTGAGCATCTACTACGAGGTGCAGGGGCCGCTCAACCCGCTGCTGCTGCAGGCCGCGCTCGACGACGTCGTGCTCCGCTCGCCGGCCCTCCGCACCACCCTGCCCGACCGCGGGCTGCGCGGCGTCGCGCACAGCCACCTCGTCGTGCCACTGCAAGTGGTGCGCTGCATCGGCTCGAGCGAGAAGCTCGCGCGGGCGCTGTCGCCAGACAACCTCCACCGGCGGCTGAACTTCGAGCGCGGCCCGCTCTTGCGCGTGCTCGCGTGCGTCAAGGCGCCGGACCACTGGCTGCTGGCGCTGGTGGCACACCATGCGATCCTCGACCTCTACTCCACGCACCAAGTCACGCAGCAGCTGCTGGCCGCGTACACGCACTCGCTGCGCGCCGCGTGCCCCGCGCTGCCGCGCCCAGTCTTCACGCTCGAGAGGGAGGTGGAGGCGACTGGCGTGGCGCGCCCCATCGCGGTCGACCTCTCGCGCCTGCTGGCGGCGGCGCCGCAGCTCCCGCCCATCGACCGGAGCGGCGGGAGGAGGGACGCCTGCTGCCGGCCGTGGACGCTCGGGGGCGCTCGGGAGTGGGCGGCGGCGATGGAGCGGGGCCGCGCGCTCGGGGGGAACGCGTTTCAGGTGGCTGCGGCGCTGCTAGCCGCGGCCTGCGTGAGCGGCGAGCCCCGCCCGATCAGCCTGTGCTGGACGCAGCGCGAGATCATGGACCGGCGCATGTGCAACGGCTCCTCGCTGCGCGTCTTCTCCTTTTCGGCGGAGGAGGCGAGGGGCGGCTTCGTCCCGCTGCTGCGCGCCGTGCAGCGGCAGATGCGCTCGCCCGCGCCGGCCCTGCAGCTGCTCACAAGCCGGCCCGCCCCCACCGAGGCGGTGGTTGTCATCTCGCAGCTGCTGCAGCCGGCCGAGCCGAGCCTTCGCGGCGTCGCACGGCAGAGCGCCCTCTCCGCGCGGCCCGCTCTGTCGCTGGACGAGCTGCCGCTGCCCCTGCTCATGCCCAAGGGCATCGACATCTACTTCATGCTCGACGACGGCCAGGGGCACGACCACCGGCCGCCGTCGGGCTCCGTCTTGCATCACAAGGGCGTCGCCGTCGGGCTAGTGGAGCGCCTCGTCGCGGGGCTGGCAAGGGGTGTGGGCGGTGCGTGAAGTGCATGGAAAAGTCGAGGGGAAGCGGTTTTGTGCATATGGCACAATAAACATATAGAATAAAAGGAGGACACTCCACATGCGGACGGCAAATGCCAAATCGGCACACAGTAGTCAGTACAGAGTGCGCTCTTTTGGAGTCAGCCTCGGCACTCAGAATCCCCCGCCCGCGCTGGCCGTGGCGCGCGAGCTTGGCCTCGGCGGGGCGGCGGAGACTGCGCGTCTAGTTCTCGAGGGTGAAGCCGGGCGCCATCCACGCCGGCTTCTTCCAGGTTGCGCCCGCGTACACCGCGCCCGCACCAATCTCCTCCTCGATCCGCATCAGCTGGTTGTACTTTGCGAGGCGGTCCGAGCGGCACGGAGCGCCCGTCTTGATCTGGCCGGTGCAGAGACCGACGGCGAGGTCGGCGATGGTGGTGTCCTCCGTCTCGCCCGAGCGGTGCGAGCACATGATGCCCCAGCCCTTGGACTTGCAGAGCTTGACGGCGTTGATCGACTCGGTGATCGTGCCGATCTGGTTCACCTTGAGCAGCAGCGCGGTGCACGCCTTCTCCGCGATGGCGGTCTTGATGCGGCGCACGTTGGTCACGGTCAGGTCGTCGCCCACGATCTGGCAGTCCGTCATCTCGGCCGTCATCGTGCTCCACCCCTTCCAGTCGTCCTGGTCGAACGGGTCCTCGATCGTCTCGATGTCGGGGAAGGTCGCCTTCAGGTCCTTGTAGAAGGCGGCGAGCTCGGGGATAGTCATCTTGAGCTTCTCCTTCATCGGGTCGTTGTCCGGGTACCACGTCGCCAGGTCGTACATCGACTCCTTGCCCGTCCCCTCGCCCGTGCCCGGCACCATAAACTCCGCCGCCGCCACGTCGAGCCCGATCTTGCACTTGCCCGTGTAGCCCGCCTTTGCAATCGCCTCCATGATGAGCTCGCAGCCCTCCTTGGCGTCGCCTGCGGGAGGAGAAGGGGCCGGGAGTGAGCCAGCCGCCGCTCAACCGCTTCTGGCGGGGTCGGCTCCAGAGGCGGAGAGGGGAGCGGCGCCAAGACAGCTGGGCCGGTGCCCGGGAAGTGTTGGCTTCTATATCGGCTCACAGGGGGGCGCGAAGCCGCCCTCGTCGCCGACCGAGGTCGCGTCGCCGCCAAACTTCTTCTTGATGATGCCCTTGAGCGCGTGGTAGCACTCGCAGCCGATCCGCATCGCCTCCTTGAAGGAGGAGGCGCCGACCGGGATGATGAAGTACTCCTGCAGGGAAGGTGCAGAGAAGGTGCAGAGAAGGTGCAGAGAAGGTGCAGAGAAGGTGCAGAGGAAGGTTCAGAGGAAGATTCCATGGTATCTGGAAGGCAGGGAAGTGCTCCTGTGGCCAGCGATCGTATCTTGGGGGAGGGGCGGGCGCTGGGTGGCGGGCGTGAGGCGGTGTGTGGCGGCGCGTGACGAGAGCGAGGAGACGGTGAGAGCGACAGTGCGATGCTTGTGGTGAGGTCGGCGAAGGTTGCGAGGGCGACAGCGAGGTGTGGTGGTGGTGGTGGTGGTGCAGGCGGCGTCGGAAGGTGACGGTGTCTGTGGCGGTGCCTGGAAGGCGAGCTTGTTGCCGGCGTGCGAGCCGCCGTTGATGACGTTGAAGCACGGCACCGGCAGCACGAGCTTGTCGTTGCCCGCGAGCTTGGCAAAGTACTGGTACAGGGGGATGCCCTCGCACTCTGCGCCCGCCTGCTCGGGCGACAAGGCCGCGTGCGGTGGGTCGGAGCGAGCGGAGAGTTGGGGCGAGGAGGCTGCGCGCCTTGGCGGCCGCCATCGAGATGCCGAGGATTGCGTTGGCGCCGAACTTCGACTTGTTGCGGAAGCCGTCGCCGACGGTGCCGGTGTCCATCTCGCACATCTGCAAAGCGAAGACGCGGTGAGTGGTAGCGTATGTAAGCGGGCCGAGACGGGAAGACGCGCAAGGCGAGTACCGCCGAGGTGCGGTCGGTGTGCGATCGCGTGGTGTCCGGAGAGCGGGAGCGGCGGGCGAGGGTGAGAGGGCGCTCGCCTTGTCGTCGATCGCCTTTTGGTCGAGGCAGCACATGCCGACGATCGCCTGGAGCTCATTGTTGATGTGGCCGACCGCCTTGGTGCAGCCCTTGCCGAGGTACCTGGCCCGAGGGAGATGCGGTGAGCTCAGGGCGCCGGACGCCGGCGGCGGAGTGGCAAGGCGAGCACGGCGGCGCGGCGCGAAGAGGCAGACGGCGGATATGACTAGTGCCGCACCGCGACTTGTCGCCGTCGCGCATCTCGCACGCCTCGTGGATGCCGGTGGAGGCGCCAGAGGGCACCATCGCACGCACGGTGATGCCACCCGCGGTGGTCAGGTCCACCTCCACAGTGGGGTTGCCGCGCGAGTCGAGAACCTCGCGGCCGACGATGGAGCTGATCTTGGTGAAGGTGTCGGGGTACTCCTTCTTGATGAGAGCGAGGACGCTGGCGTTCACCATGGCTGTCGGGAGAGAAGGCTGTCGGGGGTCGAGATAAGATGCACCCCTCGCCGATGCGGTCAAAAACGGCGCCAGTTACTTTCTTTTTTCTCTGCTCCTCGTCGAGAACCAAGGAGGTTGAGTAGCAGATCGCACTCAAAGCTTTCAAAAATTTCAATCAGACAGGATAGCAAACTTAAAAAAAAAAGACAGGATAGCTCTTAGGAACATTCATTCCCATAGGAGTACATTTTTCAGTGTTGTGGCTCTAACGAACATACCCGAAAGTGGACTGCTGACTGACAGGGTTTGCGACGAGGAGCGACTCCGAAGGGTTTCTCGGGGTTAGTGCACCACTATAAACCGCCGAAGCGCAAGAGCACTACGTATCGGGCCATACTAGCACCCACTGCTGCGAGCCGATCTTCTGGCTCGACGAGGCTGCTGCGGGGGCATCGCGGGCCGATCTCCTGGCCCAGCGAGGCCGCTGCGGGTCACACGGCGGCACGGGTCACTCCAACCATCGTTTTAGGTATGTTTTTCATATATTTTGGTTTCTTGAAAATTCCTCGTCTCAGTCATCAGAGCAGGCCACACCCCTAACACACTCTCTCACCCCTACGCCCAGACCGTCGCTCAAACTCGCAAGCGAATGAGGGGGGAAATGCATAGCGACCTCGCCCCCGGGGCATCCTTTTCACTGAGCGGATTTACATCTAGTACAGCCCAATTTACGCTCAATACGCGCCGCAAGGGCGGGACTGGACGCTCGCGCGGCCAGAGCGGTCCCCCGGTCGAAGGCCCTTCCCAGCGCATGGCGTCGCTTTTTTACAAGCTCCTCGAGATTGGCCTCAACAAGGCCATCAAACCGTACCTCGTCACGGATGGCATCTACAGCGATGTAACGGTCGAGGTCTCGCTCCTTAGATCCTAGATGCACGCGCTCTGCGGCCGCAGAGCCGGCGCGGGAGCACGCACCCGCCGACGCTGAATCCGGGGGAATTGAGATCCGATGCGCGCGGGAGGGGAGTTGACGCCGCGCAACGCACTACTGCAGGACCACTCAATCAAGATCACTGAGCTTCTCGGCAACCTCGACTTCCTCAACAAGATGCTGTTTGAGCAGGGCATGCCGTTTGAGATCCGGCTCTTCTACATCAGCGAGCTGCAGGTTGACATCCCGTACCTGTTTGAGGAACACCCGGTCCAACTGAATGCGAAGGAGGCAGCCGCGGAGTAGCGGGCCGTGCCAGCAAGGGCCCCGGCCATTGGAGTTGCTCTCCCCGAGCCGCTCTCACCCCCGCGTTCCCCTCCAGGTCAACGTGCTCCTGCGGCCGCTTGACATGCGCGAGTGGACGCTCGAGATGGTGAGGTCGGAGACTGAGGCGGCCATCGCGTCCGCATTCTCGGCGCTGCTGAAGAAACAAGCACCGTCGGCCTGGAACTCGGCCCTATACGGCGAAGACCCGCGTCAGTGCTGCTTTGCTCCGGTTCCGGTAGGCGGAGCTTGACGCCGAGCCAGAGCCAGAGTCCAAGAGCATCTTCTCCACCTTCAAGGACCGGCTGCTCTCGCGCCTCGACCCGCAGGACCTTTTCGATCGGACAGCAGAGGGATGGCGGCGTGCACACGGCCTGTCGCTCACAAATCGTTGGCCGCGAGTAGGTCAAGATCTCCGACCTGCACATCCGATACGAGGCGCCGCACGAACCAAACCCCTTTGCCTGCGGTTTCATCATTGAGAGAGCCGACATGATCTCCAACATCATAAAGGGGGATGGGACCGATAAGACCGCCGGCGCCTTTTCCCTGACCGCCGGCATGTATTGCCACGCTGAAACCCGCGCTTCGTTCGCTTTCCTCGACGACGCCATCGAGCTTGGCATCAACGCGGAAGCGGAGGCAGGCTCACCGGAGGCAGGCTCGAGCAGCGGCTGCTGCAGTGGCTGCGGCGCGAAGTGCAAGAGTGCTTGCTGCTGCGCCGGCGATGGTGACATCCCGGATACGGCCTTCTTTCGTCGACAGGGCGAGATGGTGCACAAGATGCGCGCGACGGCCGAGCAGGCGCGAAACTGGGACGACGGCGAGTGGATGGTGGGCAAAATCAAGCTGACCGGCTCGCTGGCAAATCGCGTCCGCAAAGCTTGCGACGTCGCGGTAGACGATGATCCCAATCTCCTCGTCTTCATCAATGCGGAACCTGTGGTGATCCGAGCCGACGAGGGGCAAGCCGCGGCGCTGATGACAATATCGGGCCACATGGAGCAGTTCGGGCTCTTTGCGCAGTATGCGATGCGGATGACCACGCCGTCGCCATCGTACCGCGACCGCTGGCAGGCAGCGGCGCACGCAGTCTCACGCGTGCTCTCAAAGGGCGAGATCACCACGACCGCGCAGCTCGCCACTCAGTGCGCGCTTGCGGCGGAATATCGCAAGTTCTACGCCCGGCAGATCACCGAGGCCAAGTTCTCGCTCGACGCAACGGCGCTCGTGGAAGCGCGCGAGCGCCTGCCAGAAAAGGTGAGGAGCTTCCTCTACAACGTTGAGGCTCGTGTGTCGGCGGCGACCGTCGCGTATTGGCGGCTGATGGCGCAAGTCAACAACGTCTCGATGGCGACCAAGAGCATGAAGGCCAAGGGGGGCACCTCCGGGAGCCGTGACGCGATCAAGTCCATCGCGAGCGGCTTTCGCTCCAAAGGCGACGAGGCCTTGTTTGACAAGAAGGAGGCAGCGCTGCTCGCGAGCTATGCCGCTGAGAAGCCCTTGTCGGTCGATGAGTTCCCGGCGGGCTACTGCGCCTCGTTGGTTGTGCTCGACTGCAAGAGCATCGTCGTTGAGCTCAAGGTGTCGCCGACGACGCCTGCAGTCATCGACGGCCTCGTCGCATCAACCTCGTCCCGGCCGACTCTGATGCTGCGACTCGAGGCCGTGCCACTCGCGGTGCGCTACCGCGATGTTGCGCAGTGGGGCACCGACACACGGATCTGCGTTGGCGACATTCAGGCCATCAACGGCGCAGTGGGCCCGGGCGAGTACGGCGAGCGAATCGCGGTTGCTCCGGGTGACCGCACCGGCGATGCATTCACCGAGGCGTTGCTAGGCGGGAAGGACCCGCCGCGTCCCTCTCGGCAAATGAAGGTGAACTCCGCGAGTTCCGCGAAGGGCTGGCTCGCTAGCATTTGGAAGTCGCGCAAGGGCGACGGCGCGGTGACGGCGACGGTCCTGGGGGAGGAGAAGCCGCACGGCGTGTGGGGCGCGCCGCGTGGGCCTGCAGCGCTGGCGGTGCGCGTCTTTAGCTCACGCAGTCCGACGGAGCCCGATGTGATGGACCTGACCGTGGGCACCGAGGCGACCGTCATCTACTCGCCCGCGTACTTCGTGTACTGGCGGCGCTTTGCCGACTTTATCGAGGCGACGACGATGCGCTTCCCCCTCTCAGCGACCAGCCGACTGCGCTCCAAGTACGCATCGATGACGCGTTCTGTCGACAGCTCCCTGAAGCCTTCGTACTGGATCTACGAGGTCAAGCTGATGGGCTCGGCCTTCCTCTCTGCGGTCTCGGCGCTCACGATGCCCGACTCGTTCTCCTCGCTGTACGTGAAACTGGTCGGCATCACGCTGTACCTGGCGAAGAAGGTGAACGAGGACCCGACGAAGGTGCGCACCCCGACCACGCCTCTCGGGGCGGCGCCACCCCACCGCCCCGCCCTCTTTCACCCACCCACACCCTTTCTGGCGCTCAGGAGCCCTACCTGCTCGGGATGAAGATCCCGGCGACCGAGGTGTCGCGCCCCGCGGGGGGCACGCTCAGCAACTGCGCCGTCGTGATGGGCGGTACGATCGAGATCTTCAGCCCGATCCGCGGCGGCCTGTTTGACATGTGCGTCGACGCTGCGACGTACGGGCAGGCCTACACGGGAGGAGTCCTCGAGGCGCTGCTGAACGAGCGAGCAAAGGGGGTGCGTGAGATTACGATGCTGTCGTCCGAGGCGGGCAAGCGCGACCTGCGCGTCGCCGAGATGCGGCTGGAGGCGGCGCTCGAGACGGTGCGGCGGCAGCGGGTGCGCAGCGAGTGCGGGATGGTCTCGGTGGGCACGCAGGTGGAGGCGCAGGACATCCTCGGCGTCGCCGACCTGCGACTGCACGAGCTGGTCATCAAGCAGCACCGCGAGCTGGTGGCGATGCTCGGCGTCTTCCCATCCGTTAGCGGCTCCTGCGGCGGCTCCAAGTGCTGCGGCTCCAAGTGTTGCGGCGGCGGCGACACGATGAGCGATATAGTGGACGAGATCGACAGCGCGGTCGGACACGCCTCGCTCGAGGCGGCGGAGCTGCTCAGGCCCGCGCCGCTCGCCTCGATGGTGCGTATCTGAGCGCGGGGGACCGGGGGTGGGAGCATATGCGTATGTACAGAGACCGAGACAGCCGCACGCACGGCGTCAGCGGGGGGGCGGCGCTGTTCTTTTGGTTGGGCGAGTCGGGCGGACGCGCGCACTTGTCTATTACACCCGACAACCTCTGGGTCTATTCACACAAAAACACAACCCCCGACCGAAGACGCACAAGCAAGCAGTGATTATTCACAGCGTAGAGCTCTAACCTTCGCCGAGTTTCTCCGAGGTTGCGGACCGCCGTGTGTATGCTGCGACCCTCGTTGCCACGCGCGAGCTCGTCACTGTTCTCCCGCACGAGCCCTCTGTCCTCCCGCCCGAGGCCATTATCAGCCCTGCCGGCGGAGCCAGACTGCGTCGATCCGGACGAGTATTGTCCGCACGCTCTCGCCCGCGGCATCAAGTCGAAGGGCGTGGAGCGGGCCGTGTGGACAGAGATCCGTGAGGGCGCTATAGCCCAGTCACGAGAGCAGTCTTGGCGGACGCTCGACCTGCAGGACTTTGGCGTGGACAACTTTCTGCAGCGCGAGGTCCTCAAGCATTACAGCCTCGCTTGCGGTCTCGCCGAGGGCGTTGGCGGCAAGCTGGCGGCGAACGCACGGATCGGCGGGGGGGTGGACTACGAAAAGGTGTTCCTGTCCGCCTTCCGCGCCGAGCCGGACCTCTGCACGAGCGTGGCCTCCGACATCCTCCGCTTCAAGGAGGTTGACCCGGCGGCGCGAGGCGGGCAGGGGCTGCTCGGCGTGTACCTCTTCTACAAGGGCGTGCACGCGCTGGCCTGCGCGCGCGTCGCCGGCCACTACTGGAGGAGGCGGGGCGAGGCGGGAAAGCTGATCGCGAGGCTGCTCCAGAGCGAGGGGTCGGACATGTACGGCGTCGATATCCACCCGGGCGCAAGGCTCGGCGACGGCGCGCTCCCACTCCCGGCTCCCATCTGACACAGAGACGCAAGCAGAGGAGCGCAGCCAGACACGCCCAGCCCCGCACCGCAGGAATCACAATCGACCACGCGACCGGCGTCGTGATCGGCGAGACGAGCGTGGTCGGCGACAACGTCTACCTAATGCACGACGTGACGCTCGGCGCGACGGGCACCGGCAACGCGCACGACCGACACCCAAAGATCGGCGCGGGCGCCTTCCTCGGCGCAAAGTCGACCGTCCTCGGCAACATCCACGTCGGCGAGGGCGCGACTATCGCGGCGTCCGCCCTCGTGAACAAGCCCGTGCCTCCGGGCTACACGGCGGTGGGTGTGCCGGCGCGGCTCCTGCCTCCGCCGAAAGACAGCAAGTACTGGAAGCCGCAGCCATCCAAGCGCAGCCCGAGCACTGCACCCTTTCGTCCCACATCTACGTAAAACCGGGTGTGGCGTCTGCATGTGCATGTATGTGCGGTTTTGCGTCGTGCTCGACGACGCGCGGGACGCGACACGCCCGGCCGTACGCGGCATGTGGAGTGCGTAGATGTACTTGTACACCGATGGCCGCCCACCGCATCGGCGCCCGCCTCTCTGCTGTCTGTGCACACACTGCACTTTCTCGTCTCTCTGGTAGGACGGGAACGAGATGATAGTAGGGAGTAGAAGGAAGCAAAGAGGAGCCCTGCGCACGCACGACTCCGCAGGAGAAGCCCCTGCACTATATGGCCTCTCTCTCGCCAGAGCAATTCGTCGCGCCTTGGTCATCGACGAGCAGGCGCCTCTCTGGAGCGCCGCCGCGCTGCGCGTGGCGGAGGAGCACGCCGCACGGCTCGTGGAGCAGCCCGAGTGGGTGCTCTCCGAGGTCCTCCTCTCGCCGGACCTCGCCCCGCACATCCTCGCCCAGCTGCCGACCAAGGGTCCCCAAACCAAGGCGCACGCCGTCAAGGGCGGGACGTGCCGCACGTGGCGCCGCGGCCCGCGCCGGCTGGAGGAAAGGAGATGCTGAAGAAGCGCGGCGATGACAACGAGGGTGGGATAATACCATACATTGACTAATCGCCCGCGCTCTACCTGTACAGAAGAGAGAAGACAGCTCTGAAGAGAGGTGAGAGCAGCCCAGCGCTGCTTGCCAGCTCATCAGTGTGTGTGCTCTCTGACACCCATCTGACACACCCATCAACCATCCAGCGCAACACCACACACATCTAAACATGCGCCTGAGTTTTCAACAGCGCCAGCCCCCCGCGACACCGTGAAGATCTCCCTACACAGGGCCGTTCAGTCGAGGCAGCCTGTTTTCAGTCTTCAGACCCTTGGCCGTGCTCCACGGAGCGCAGGAGCTTCAGCCCGTTGAGCAGAGCGGCGCTCCCGCCTGCGCCGTCCTGCGCGACGCCGCCTGCTTCCTCCCGCGCCCGCTTCCTAAGCAAGCCCTCGTGCATCGCCTCCTCAATGGTGCCCCGCATGAGCATCGACACGATCTTGAGCTTGCCCGCGGAGCCGAGCCGCATCCCGCGCGCCTCCGCCTGCTGCTCCTTGTCTCGGCGCGCAATCGGCTCCGTCTTGATCAGGTGCGTCGCCTCGCCAAGGTCAAGGCCCTCGATGCCGGACGCGTTGAGCACTAGCACAAAGCACGAACCCGCCGCAGCCGGGACGAGGAGCGCACAATCGGTCGGCCGCTTGCCGCTGCACGACCCCTCGGCGACGACGGTGCCGAAACGCGGCGCGGTCGCAGCCTCGCCGGCGGCGCTCTGGCTCCGGACGACGGCGCGGTTGCCGATGTAGAGAGTGGCGCGCCCGCCTCCTGGCGCGAGGAGGAGGCCTCCCAGCTCGTCGACACGGTCCACCTCCGTCCGGAAGCGAAGCGCCTCCGCCGGCGCCCCGCCCGCCGGCGCCCCGCCCGCCGGCGCCCCGCCCGCCGGCGCCTCGAGCCGCACCAGGTAGGTCGGAGTCGCGCACGCAGGCGTCGCCTCCTCGTGGACGGCGCCGCAGCTCGCGCACTGCCAGTAGCGCCCACGTCCCGCCTTGAACTTGGCGAGGGCCTATTGGGGAAGGGGCAGGCACGTGTTGTGGACGCGTCTCCGACCTGCCCACCTTGGGAGCCCGGGGAGCGCGCCTTGGCCGTCTCGAGCTTGCTCTTCGCCTTGCCCTCGAGCCCGTTCAGGTCGGCGAGCGAGTCGGCGCCGATGGCGAGGCTGAGGCGCTCGAGAAACAGACCGCGCACGTCGCGGTGTGCCGGCGGCACGATGAGCACTTTTGCGCCCTCCTGTGCGAGCCGATGCAAGTAGAGGGCGAGCCGTTGCACCTTTGCACCGTCCTCGGCTGTGTCGCCACGGGCGGACATCGCCGCCCGCAGATCGGCCAGAGGCCGCGACGCAAACGTCGGCCTCTCGTCGACGGCGCGCAGCGGCTCGAAGTGCCGCGGCGCCGGCTGCCGGAACAGCAAAGTGCGCGAGTGATGCTGCTGGTGCTGCTGCTGCGGCGGCGGCGGTTGCTGCTGCTGCTGCGGCGGCGGTTGGTGCTGTTGGTGCTGTTGCTGCTGCTGCACCCGGATCGAGCTACCGAGGTCCGCGGCGTGGTTGCGATCGGCCTCGGTCCGCAGGTCGAAGTACGGGTTGGCTCGCCTCCACGGCCCCTTGGTGCGCCGGCGCCGGCATTCGGAGCACGCCTCTCCCCACCGCGAGCCAATCTCCTCCTCAAAGCACTCGGCGCACACAGCGCCGGGGCACGCGCAGGGGCGCGTCAGCAGCCCGGGCACGAAGAGGCCGCACGCGTCGCACGCGGGCACACGGCCCGCCAGACAGCCCGTCAGGTAAGGGTGGGCGTTGGCCCCGCCGCGCTTGAGGCTCGCCGCGTCCTTCTTGGATAGCGCGACCGTCCAGTTCTCCGCCCCGTTGGTCGCCATCTGCAGCTCGAGCACCGTCTTCTCGGCGGAGGGAGCCAGCCACTCGGCCTCGGCTCCGCGCTTCTTCTTCTTGTCCTTTGGCGCCTGCTCTGCCCACTCCGCAGGCCGTCCAGAGCCGTCCTCCCCGCGCCCGCCCGCGCGCTGCACATCGCGCTGGTGGAGCGAGAGCGCGTAGTTGTACGCGTCGGCCTCGATCTCGTTCGGCTCGATCAGCTCGACTACATGCTCGACAGAGGCCTGCTGCCGCGCGAAGATGACCGCCCGGGGCGTGTGCAGGAAGGCGCCGTTGAGCTCCTCGAGGAGCAGCGCCTCGGCCTCGGGCCGCACACGGCTGCCCTCCTCGAAACGCTTGGCGGCCCACGGGCGGAATCCGCCGCTGAAGCGCCACGACGGGTGGCCGATCAGCCGGAGCATCGCGTACAGCCGCTTGGGGTCGCGCCCGGGCGTGCCAGAGAGAAGCAGCTTGGGGACCCGCTGGAAAGCCTCGACGTTGAGCATCTGGTTGGAGATGGTCGCGCCGTTTAGGTTGTGAGACTCGTCGACCACCAAGAGGCGCGCGGACCGGCGCAGGTCGGTGACGACCTTGTCGTTCTTCGTCTGCTTGCCGGTGGTGTCGTACGGGTTGGTGCGCAGCGATAGCATCTCCTTTGCGAAGATGAGCACGTCGAAGCGCTGTAGATCCGCTGGCAGCGGCGCTGCGCGGCCAAGAGGGAGGGTGAGACTAAGACGAGGTCTCGTGTGGCCAAGAGGGAGGGTGAGACTAAGACGAGGTGTCGTGTGGCCAAGAGGGAGGGTGAGACTAAGACGAGGTGTCGTGTGGCCAAGAGGGCGTCGGGGAAGAGGTCGTGTGCGCACCGCTGGGACGTTGCTCGACGTACACTCCTCCGCCGGTCCACGTCGAGAGGCGCTGGGCGCCCGACTCCTCGTAGTGATGGAGCTCCTTGTCGGCGCAATAGATGGCGAGCCCAGACACGCCGGGGTCGAAGTGGCGAGCGATCTGGGCGGCCCACTGAGGCACAATGACCTTGGGCGCAAAGACAAGAACAGCGCGCCGCTCGCATGGGCCTGCAGCAGGCATCGACCGAGCGATCGCGGCGAGCACCGACACCGTCTTCCCGCCGCCCGGCGCATCACAGAGCACGATGCCCTCGCTCTCGCTTCCGTGCAGTCCCGCCCGATCCCTCGTCTTGCCGTTGGAGCAACGGTACATGGCCCGAGAGATTAGCCGCGCGTTCGAGGCCTGCCAGTCGTACAGCTGCGCTTCGCCGCGCTGCTTCGCCGCCTTGAGCCCGGGCGCCGTGAAGGCCAGCGCGTCTAGCAGCGCCGTGCACGCAGCTCGCGCCGACCGGAAGGACGGCGCCGGCAACAGAGCGCCGATGGTCTGCAGGAGATCGACGGGAAGCTCTGCGAGGCCCGTGCCAGCAACTTTCGGGCGGAGGAACGAATAGGCCGGCGTGCGCACGCGAGAAGTGAAGAGCTCCTCAACCGAACTTGGCCGCGGCATCGGAGATCTCTGATCTGCTTCCGATGGGACGGTGCGAGCGGAGGGGAGAGCACGGAGTGCGTACCTAGGGAGGCTTCGCCGGAAAAGAATTTTACAACGCCTCCCGGAAAAGAATTTTAAAAAGGAAGAATTTTACGGTGGCGCGGAAGCTCAACGCAGGGCCACCTCTGTCTGTCAAGAGTCCCCAGAAACCCGAGGAATCACACAGTCCTGTGTGATGCACGCCCTGCGAGCGGGGCGGGGTGCGCACTGTGCCTCTGACTGTGAGCTCTGTGTTCGTGCGTCGCCCATCTCTCTTGGAGATGACTGCTCTATTTATTTATTACGGGACTGGCGCGCACTAGCACTAACACAGGCAAAGGAAATTTATCCGTGCAAAGAATTTTTCCCTGCAATCCTCTCAGCTCTCTCGCACAACAACACTACGTTGATCGTTGACGTTGTGCTGTGTGATGCACGCCCTGCGAGCGGGGCGGGGTGCGCGCCGCTGTGCCTCTGTGTTCGTGCGTCGCCCATACTCCTGGTAGTGGAGATGCAGCCTGCTCTATTTATTTAATTATTAACACTACGCACGGGTGACGGGACTGGCGCGCACTGGCACAGACTAACACGTCTCACGTGGCGAAAACGAAGAAGTTTCGGCACAGCCCTCAACGAAGGACAAAGCAGACTGGCACATGGACTGACGCGGCAAATGGGAAAAGAAACGCGAAAACTGTGCGTTCCCCGATTCGGAGTGACGAGTGCGGTGTCGTTCTGTTGAGTGTTGTCGGCTCTCAGACGAAAGGGAGAGGTATATTCCTGCCCTGCCCTGCGCTGCCCTACTGCCCTGCCCGCGTACTGCCGCACAACTGCCCTGCCCTGCCCTGCCCGATCCCCTACCTGCCCCGGGTGTGAAACCCACACTGCCATGCCCTGCCCTGCCCACACTGCCGAGGTGTGAATAGCCGGCCGCTCCCGAGGTCTCGAACAAACTTCTCTCAGCCGTATATGGCCATTTTTCCATATCTCCACCGGTCTAGAGTTTCCCTCGTGAGTCGTGTGAGGAGCTGTGTCGTGTGCTCGTGTGTCGAGAGCAAAAGCTGGCGCCAAGGCGCTCAAGGGCTGTACGCGGTGTCAGAGTTACCCCCTGATATGATATCATGCCATTCTGACTGCAGACTCGCACCCCTCCCCCCCCTACTCTCGACCCAGTGTCCCCAGCTACACTCTCGGGCACGCGGACCGCTCTCACATAACCGGCGCCCCGCTGTGGCTGTGTGCGGCCCCAACAGCAACAGTCAACGGCTGGGACACCCACAGCACACACCACAGACTGACACCGCCCCCCAAGATACCGCCCTGCGCATCCCGCACGCCCTAACCTATTCCGCTGGCACACTCGCACACCACTCACTGGCCACCGCACGCACGCAGCGTCGAGTGACCAACCTCAAGGCGTGGGGAAGAGCCCGTATCTGCTTGCTTTGCGTGTCGGGATTGCCGCTGGCGTCCCCTGTCCTACCCCCGGTCCCTCTCCCTAGAGACTACTGCCCGACCGAGCACGACCACCACTCCTCGTTGTAGAGCACCGCCATGCGCGACTTGAACCAGACGCGCACCGGCACCGCAGGCTCTCGCTCCGGGTGCTGGAATGTGAAGCCGGCGACGCCCGGGTGCGCCGCGGCCCACGCCTTGGCCTCGGCGAAGGTCATGCAGGCGACGTGCACGTCGTCGCCCGCCAGGCAGTGCCCGCGGTACATGCCCTCGTGCAGCGGCCTGCGCACGCGGCGCCTTTGCGTGAGCGGCGGGCGGGCGGGCGGGCGGGCGGGCGGGCGGGCGGGCGGGCGGCGCGCGCCCGACGAGGGTCTGCTCCGCCGCGTCGACGGGCTGGGACGGCTGTCCGTCCTCGCGGAAGGACTGGCGGATCCAGACCTGCGAGACCCACTTTGTGCCGACGGGAGGCAGCCCCGCGTGCAGCGCGTCGAGGTCGAGCTCGCCGTTGAGGAAGCCGGGGAAGAAGATGACCGCCATCCCCTTCTTCGGCTTGATCTCGAGGTTGAGCCGCCGGAAGAAGGTGCCGCCCCCGCCCTCGGGCACGTTGAGGTACATCAGCACCGTCCCGATCCGCTGCCCGCCGCTCGCGCAAAACGCCTTGCCCGCCGTCGTCTGCGGCGGGGAGGAGGCGGCGGTGAGGGAGCGGGCGGGCGGGCGGGCGGGTGGGCGGCGGCGGCGGCGGCGCGTGGGCGGCGCACGTGCGGGTCGACGCCGTCGTAGTGCTCGACGTACCGCTGCCCCTCGGTGTAGCGCGCGACCTGCGGCAGCTCCATGTGGTCGAAGGGCTTGCCGGTGAGCGCCTGGATCTTGGAGAGGAGGGCGGGGCACGGGTCCGCCTTCTTGGACAGGTGGCACGTCAGCGACGTCCGCCCGCGCGTCGCCTCGGAGCCGGCGACCGCGTGCGTCTTGGAGCGCTGCAGCAGCGGCGTGGCCACCTGCGAGCGCGGGCCGGGCCGGGTGGGCGAGCGCACGCCGGGAGCTCGGGCCACGCCACCGGGCTGCCGCCCTCTCCGCCCGGCGTGGCGCGCGCCTGCATCAAAGCGGCGCACTCGTCGTCGCTCAAGAAGTCGTGGCAGACGTAGATGGGAGGCTGCTCGTGAATGCGCTTCAGCCCTGGGTAACCCATGTTCAGCGGCATGTACCAGATCATAGGCGCCGCTTCCGCTTGATCATTGCCGAGCCCGTGAGCATGCAGCGTTTGCGGGGCCACCCCGTACATGCTGAAATGTCCGCGGCGCCTGCGCGTCCAGCCGCAGACGCCGAACTTGGGCCTAAAAAAAGCGTCCAGCCGCAGACTACAAACTTGCGCCTCCGCTTGGAGCGCCTCCGCGCAGGGTGCACGATCGGTGTGACACGAGTCTAGAGCGCGGTGTCCGGGCTTGATGCGAAAAAAGAATTTTAGGCCACAACACCGGGCGACGGCTAGCGCACCACACCCCTCTCCTTAAAATCCCTGTGTGGTGGCGGCGTGCCGTTCTCCCAAACACAGGTACACCGAAAAAAGAAAGTTGTTCGCTAGATTGACCCGCCAGAAAAACGGTATGGCGGTGGAGTGCTCTCTACTGCCGCGGCGCCCCTGTCGGTTCGGACGGAGGCGCCCGGCGGCCGCGCGCTTGGTGCCGACGTCGACCGGCTGTGCTCTCGCGGCGCCGAGGCGTGCCGCTTCGGTCACGTCACGCGCGCTGCGAGGTGTCTTTTGGCATGTGAGCGCTGGCAGGAAACGCCAAGAAGCTGGTCTTCCATGTCTGCGGACCCCATCGTGTCTGTGCCGCGTCGCCGACGCCACTTGCCGCTCGCGGCTGCCCTGCCCTTCCCTGCCATATCGCGCAAACAAACACACACACACACAAACACACACATTGATTAATGATCGTAATAATTATTAATTATTAATCATCGGGCGGCGGCGCGGCGCGGTGGCGGGCGGCGCGAGGCGGCGGCGCGGCGAGGCAGCGGGCGACGCAGGGCGGGGCGGGGCGGCGCGGCGGCGGGTGGTATAATTACTTATTAATTAATTAATAATGAATTAATAATCATCGGGCGGCGGCGCGGCGCGGCGGCGGGCGACGCGGAGCGGGGCGGCGCGAACATCTGCTCTGATCAGGCCTCCGGCCTTTGAGGCAGGGCAATGGTCGCGCCGCCCTCGACTCAAGGGGCTGCCTTCCACACGTCGCTGCTCAGGCCGGGGGAGGGGGGGAGACCTCCTGTTCCTCGCGGAACGGGAGCAGGCCCCTCCTTGCCCGGTCTGCGATGCAGGGCGGTGGTCGTGCCATCTTCGCTTCGTACAGACAACGACCACGCCGCAACCGTCGCCGGCGCGCGACACGTTCCCGTAGGCAGGACTGTCCTCGTCGAGAGTGTGTGCCGCCAAGGCGGGACGCACTCAGGGACAGGGCCGACGGGACGCGGCTCGAAGGGCGACTCCCGCGAAGGCACGGCTGGCATCCGTGGCGTGGGGCTCGTCTTCGAAAAGTCGGGCATGGCTCTACCCGCAACTTTCTCGCTAACACGCGCGCACCGCCGAGCCTGCGGCGGGCGCGCTGCGGCCGCACGTCCACCTCCGTCATAGTGCCACGACGTGCGGCCTAGATTTAGCCCACGCGCCTCTGCTCGCAAACACTCACCCATTGACTTGTCACTGCCCGTGAGTGCGAGATAGGGCTAGCAGTAGGCAGCTAGCCTCTGAGGAGGGCGTCCATAGACACTTCACAAGACCCCACACACGATCTCGTCCGAAGAAGCGCACCCAGCGGGCCGGATGATCGGGATCGGGTTACGGGCTAGAGAGCCCTAGCCCTGGGGGGGTGCGCGTTCGCAGGGAAAGGGCCGTAAAACACAGGTCTCCGAGGGTTAGTTCTGCGCTTTGGGTGTTCCCTAGCGGCGGAAGGCCCCCTCTACTCGGAGCTAGTAAACACCAGACACGAGCCTGAGACGTACACTCTCACCCGACATCGCCACTCGGGGCACCTTCCTGTTCGCTTTCCCTCGGCTGCGGAGCCCGCCTTCCCCGCATTTTGCATTTATTTTGGTTTTGGGTGTCGGAGATCATCCATCGCAAGCATTGCTAAAAATCTCTCTCTCGCAAGCACTCATCAGTCAGTCACGTCAGTCAAAGCCGCGCCGAGCCGGTCTCGGCGGGAGACCTCGGAGCCGCACGCGATGCGGGCGTGCGCGATGGCTCCGTTGCGACCGTTGGCTCCGTGCCTAAGGCAGATAGATTTTAGGGTGTGAGCTGCGGCAGCCAGTCGGAGGCCGCGATGGATGGCCCAGGGCCGGTGGGGCGGTGAAGGCGTCCGTCGATGTACGATGAAGGGATGTCGTCGAGGGAGCCATCGTCCTCCGCGGCTGGTGCACCGGTCCAGTTGTCGGAGTTCGAGATCGCAGTCGACTTGGAGGTTGACGAACTCACGGAATGTGAGCGACTTGGTCTTGGATCTTGGTGCACGCTGGGTCGAGCATCATGGCTCGCACCTCATCCTCGGCCCACAGAAAGTGTGTCCGGGCTTGATGTGAAGAAAGAAAGTTATACGTTTCACCTCGTGAACTGAGAGCCCATGATCCCGCTCCCTGGCTGTCTGTTTTCTTTCTTTCTTTCTGAGAGGCCTGAGGGCTTGATGTGAAGAAAGAAAGTTAAAATGTGTTTCATAGAACCCTCGTCCTTGATCGTCCTTCCAAAATCCTGCTCGTGCAGGTGGGGACCTTGATCCTTGTCCTCCCATCCGTCGTTTGCCTTGTTTTCTTTCTTTTTTCCAATCGTTTGGGCTGTCTTCTCTTGCAGTTAAAACCAAAGTTACGGCGCCCGTGCCGGTGTCGAAACACCCTCCGACGCGCTCCACTCTAGCTCCGATGCGGCACACGGGGTGTGGGAAGGGTCTCCGGTTGCATCACAAAAGGATTACAATTGTGCACTTTGGGCCCCCGGGGTGCGGAGGCGACCAACCGCTTGGCCAAGGCGGTCACCTCCGCGCGCCGCTATCACTGCGCGTAGCGCACCTGGCGCTGCCGCTAGTCGCCATCCCCCTCACCTTCATGCCGGGACGGAGCGGCTCCGTCCGCCAGACGGGGCCGCTCAGCCGCATGATGTCGGGCCTGCACTTGAGCACAGGCTCGCGTGAGGGTGCAAAGGCAGCCACCGCCGTCAGCGGCTCCGCTACTGTTGTCACGCAGTCGGCTCGCACGCAAAATGGGACAATGAGTCGTGCTCTGAAGGGCGAGGCGGCGGATACGAACGATGAGCGATACATGCGCCTGAAGCCTGACCACCCCGGGCTGCGGAGAATAAACGAGCGGCCTCCAATCTATGTGTGTGATGACTTCTTGAGCGACGACGAGTGCGCCGCTTTGATGCAGGCGCGCGCCACGCCGGGCGGAGAGGGCGGCAGCCCGGTGGCGTGGCCCGAGCTCCCGGCGTGCGCTCGCCCACCCGGCCCGGCCCGCGCTCGCAGGTGGCCACGCCGCTGCTGCAGCGCTCCAAGACGCACGCGGTCGCCGGCTCCGAGGCGACGCGCGGGCGGACGTCGCTGACGTGCCACCTGTCCAAGAAGGCGGACCCGTGCCCCGCCCTCCTCTCCAAGATCCAGGCGCTCACCGGCAAGCCCTTCGACCACATGGAGCTGCCGCAGGTCGCGCGCTACACCGAGGGGCAGCGGTACGTCGAGCACTACGACGGCGTCGACCCGCACGTGCGCCGCCCACGCGCCGCCGCCGCCGCCGCCCACCCGCCCGCCCGCCCGCCCGCTCCCTCACCGCCGCCTCCTCCCCGCCGCAGACGACGGCGGGCAAGGCGTTTTGCGCGAGCGGCGGGCAGCGGATCGGGACGGTGCTGATGTACCTCAACGTGCCCGAGGGCGGGGGCGGCACCTTCTTCCGGCGGCTCAACCTCGAGATCAAGCCGAAGAAGGGGATGGCGGTCATCTTCTTCCCCGGCTTCCTCAACGGCGAGCTCGACCTCGACGCGCTGCACGCGGGGCTGCCTCCCGTCGGCACAAAGTGGGTCTCGCAGGTCTGGATCCGCCAGTCCTTCCGCGAGGACGGACAGCCGTCCCAGCCCGTCGACGCGGCGGAGCAGACCCTCGTCGGGCGCGCGCCGCCCGCCCGCCCGCCCGCCCGCCCGCCCGCCCGCCCGCCCGCCGCTCACGCAAAGGCGCCGCGTGCGCAGGCCGCTGCACGAGGGCATGTACCGCGGGCACTGCCTGGCGGGCGACGACGTGCACGTCGCCTGCATGACCTTCGCCGAGGCCAAGGCGTGGGCCGCGGCGCACCCGGGCGTCGCCGGCTTCACATTCCAGCACCCGGAGCGAGAGCCTGCGGTGCCGGTGCGCGTCTGGTTCAAGTCGCGCATGGCGGTGCTCTACAACGAGGAGTGGTGGTCGTGCTCGGTCGGGCAGTAGGGCGGCGGGGGAGGGGCAGAGGGGGGAGGGGCGGCGGGCACCTTGGGGCGTGGCAGAGCGTCGGTTTCGTCCGGCCTGCCGGGGTTATGGCGCCACAAGCCCACGACAGCCCGCACAGCTGACTACAGATCGCGGTAGGCACATCGCCTGGCAGGCGCACTGACCTGGCAGGCGCACACGCACACACTAGGCACCAGAGACTCGCCGTGGCGCCGTCACTTCTGTAGCGCTCGAGAGCCCGATTGGTCGGATCTCCGACCGTTGCGCGTGGATCTTAGCTCGTTTGGCCCTCACGCGTTTTGTGTGCGCGGGGCGGCCGCGCGCGGCGCACGGGCATGCATGCCGGCGCATGGGGGGCCGATCAGCCACTCGACTGCGCTCTGCGGCGCGGCGGTGTGACGTGTGACTCTCAGCCGCGCTTTGTCGTTCGTTCGGCTTGTGCGCGAGGCTCTATTTTGTTCTAGTTTCCTGTACGTCACTCTGACTCTCCAACTCTGGTCCCCTCGCCGCCCTCGCGCCTCGGAGATGTGTGGGCCCCCACGCCGCCACGGCGCACGGGCGCCACGCCACACGCACACCGCACACACGAACGCGAGGGGCCACACGCACACCGCGGTCCGCGCCGACGCCCGCGACGCGGCACCAACGGCCCGCCCCTCTCTGGCGCGATATACGAGGGCCAGACGAGCTCACATACCACAACGCGCGGCGCGACGCCTCGCACATCACGCATCAGCCGTGGTTCTTGTGGGTGGCAGAGTACTGGCGCTGCCTTCTCGTTGGCACGTAGACCCGCCTATCGTGCTGGCCCCCGCTGCTCGCCGGCGTCGCACCCGGCTGCTGCCCACCGCGGCTGCTGCCGCTCGCCCCGCGCGCAGCCTCCCGCCGGAGGGCGGGTCGCCGGTCGTAGCCGCACTGCTCCAGCAGCTCGCGGGCGCAGTTCAGGAAGTGGTTGAAGCGCCGGCCGCCCAGCATCGGCCCATCCACACGCCGGCTGACTGCCACGAGCACGTTGGCGGCTCCGGCCGTCTCGAGCAGCTCTGCCAAGCGGCTAGCAGCACCAGCCTCGCCACCGTCATCGCAGCCCCGCTTCACCACCCCGCTCCCACCCTCAACCACGCGATACGCCCACGGCACGCACGCGGCGTGGCGCACGCGGCTGTCGCGGTGGACGGCAGACAGGGCGGCGAGCGCAGCATCCGCACTAGCGATGCCGCACAGGTGCGCCTGGAAGGTGGAGCCAGAATCGTGCAGCTCGCTCCCGTGCTCGATGCTCCCGGCGTCCTGCCCCGGCCCTCCGCCTCGACCCTCCGCCTGCAGCATCTCAATCTCGCGCGCCCGCAGCACCGCCGCGAGGACCTCCTCCTCCTCCGCCGCCTGTGCCGCCTCCAGCGCGGCCGCCTCCACCGCCGCCGCTGCCTCAGCCGCTGCCAGCGCTTCCGCCGCCGCCTCCGCCTCGGCCGCCGCCTCCGCCTCTCGCCTGGTCGCCTCGGACACCACCGCCGCCTCCGCAGCCTCCTCTGCCGCCACCGCGGCCAAGGCGGCGCCCCAGGCGGCGTCGGACTCCTCCAGCTCAGCCTGCTGGAGCACTCGCGCCAACGCAGCGTCCTCGTCTGCGGCGGCCGCACGCCGCGCACTCGCCGCACCGGCGCCTTCGCTTCGAGAAGACGGAGGAGGCCGGGGCAGCAGCGGGCTCCCTTCTCCAGCGCCGAGCTGGGAGAGGCGGAGGGCCTCGGCCAACATCCAGCCGTCAAAGCCGTCGTCAAAGCCGTCGTCGCAGTGAGCTGAAGACGTGGCTGGTCGCGCGGCGGCGGCGGCGGCGGCGGGCGGCGGCGGTGGCAGCGCACGTGGCTCACGCGGCGCCTGCGTCTCACCCAGCGGGACAGGCACGGGCACTGTTGCAGCTCCAGAGACAGCCGCCTGCCTGTGGCCGAGCCAGTCGATAGGAAGCAGCTCCGATGGCGCGAGGCCGCCCTCCCACAGCGCCGCCGCCAGCTTCCGATCGAGGCGCCACAGCTTGTGCCGGCCGCTCATCTGGATCGGCTGGCGGAGCCGGCGGTGCCTGCAGAAGAGGAAGTAGTAATCGCGGCCATGCGCCGTCGCCTCCTCGCGCGCACCGTCGGGCAGCGTGCGCGCCCAGCCGTCAAACTCGCTCGCTTGCACGCAGTCCGCCATCTCGACGCAGCCGACGAGAGCTGATGTTGGATAGGCCGGCGGGAGCGTTGGCTCGCCCGGAGCGTCGAGCGAGTAGGTGTGCCTCACAAAGTCCTCCATCATTGCAATATCGGAGGGTCTCGGCTCGTGAGCTGCGGCGTGGATCCACAGTGGTCCACGGTGGCGACTGCTCCACACGCGGCCGTCCAGGCGCTGCAAGCCGTATGCTATGATCGATGCGAGCGGCTGATGGAAGGTTAGCACGGTGACCGGCGGCTGCTCACTGCGGTCGCCTGGCTGCGCCGCCCTCCCCACCGCCGCCCTCGCCGCCGCCGGACGCTGGGAGGCTGCCATCGCGCTGGCGAGTACTCCCTCGCCGCTCGGGATTTAGTCTGGCCGAGTCAACCTGGCTGGGCGAGCCTTGGCAGAGGCGAGCAGCCGTGGCTGGAAGAACCCGTCGGTAACTCGCGGTGATGTCGCCGTCAAAAGAAAATCTACTCCAGGCCTAGGTAAGAGTGATCATGCCTCCCATCCCTCCCTTGGGTTGTCTGTTTTCTTTCTTTCTTTCTTTCTGATCATGCATGAGTAGGCGCATATACATGCGTACCGAACGAGAGGGTCCTCGCTCGAGGGGTGACAGAGCTCCTGCGGGCCGCGTCGCTCTGCGGCCGCGCAGCGGTCGCTGCCACACGCAACCACCTCGCGCCGCGCCGCCCTGGGAGTGGCCTGCCGCCCCGCCGAGGGGAGGCGCCCGCGCTAGCAGCCCGCCAGGGCCTTCATCAGCTCGTCGAAGGACGTGACAAACCAGTCGGCGCCCGCCTTCACCTTGTCTCGCACCTGGATGCCGCCAAAGCCGATGAAGGCGTCGGCGCCGCCGGGCACGTCGCGCGCCTCCATGTCGGTCGCGCCATCGCCGATCATCACCACCGTGCTGTACCCCCTCGACGCCTTGAGGTCCGCCACCACCTTGGCCTTGCCGCCGGCGCGCGAGGTCGGCTCGGCAGGGTCGTGGCCGGTGAAGTCGCCGGCGTCGTCAAAGAGCAAGCTGTTCGCGTAGATGTCCGTCGGCGGGATCGCGAGCTCGGCCGCCACCGGCTCGATCATCTGCCGGAACCCGCCCGAGACGAGGTACACCCGCTTGTTCAGCGCGACGAGCCGCGCGATCAGCGCGGCGATGCCGGGCGTGAGCAGGTCCGCCGGAGGGTGGGCAGCGAGCATCGCGTCCAGCTGCTTGCGCGACGGCCGCATCACGTCCAGCCGCGCCGCGAGCGCCTCGTGGAACGGCACCGAGCCGCCCATCGCACTCGCCGTGAGCGCCGCGACCCGGTCGCCGACGCCGAGGAAGGCGGCGAGCTCGTCGATGCCCTCCTTGGTGATGACGGTCGAGTCCACGTCGAAGCAGACCGCGTCAGCCTTCTGAAGCGCCGCCTGCGCGTGCTCGACGCGCGTGCCGGTCGCCATCTCTCCTGGTCGAGCTGAGCCAGGGCGAAGTGTATTCTTTTTTGCAGGCCGGACATCATGGGTCGCCCGTCCTGCGTCCACCCATACCGCGTTGGTGTCCCAGTCGTTGGTCGGACTGTGTTTCGCCTTCCCATCAATCAATCAAAACGGGGTAGGTAGGGTAGGTCTGGGCCCTCCCGTCGGGTTTTCCCCTCTCTTCACGCTGGAATTTTCACAGCAGAAAAAGAAATTTTCCGCGCACATCACGACGTCAACCCATTGTATGGGTGGGCGACGGCTAGCGCACCACACACCTCTCCTTAAAATCCCTGTGTGGTGGCGGCGTGCCGTCCTCCCATCCCTCCCTTGGGTTGCCTGTTTTCTTTCTTTCTTTCTACCCTCCCCAATGCGCAATGGTATTGGGCTCAACCCGTGCGTGGTCCGTGGAAATCGTCAAATTTTTGGCTCTGAGCCGAGTCTGAGGCTGGTTTGGGCCCGAAATCAGCCAAATTTTAGGCCAAATCGGCAAAAAGCCGGGAATTTCGCGGAGAACCCGTGTATACCTGGAAATTACCCTGCGACCGCCTGGGTATTTTGTCGATTTCCTCAATTTTGCCTCAGATTTTGCCCCAGACCAGCTCTCAGACTCAGGGAAACTCGCGAGTTTCCAGAATGGAGCACCAAACACCCTCTGTTTTCCCTGGAAATTTCCGGAAAGTGCTGGGGACCCTCTGTTTTCCTTTTTGTTTTCCGGAAAACTGGGTTGAGCCCAACCAATGGAGATGACTGCTCTATTATTTTATTACGCTCCACCACCCTCGCCCAGGGATCTACAATGCTGTCTTAAGGTCCGACAGGTTCGGCACCGGGCACCGCCTCGGTATACAAAATGCGCCTGCGGGCGGACCCTTACAGATCACAGATCACCCTCCCCAATGGGTGATCTGGTGCTTGTAGGGCTTGAGAGTGGCCTGCCATGTCACAGGAAGGACAAAACAACAAACAAATCAGGAAGGACTGTGGTTGCAGGAGAGTACCAACCATCACTTTAAGTTGGTATGGTACCCCACCTTCACCTATCGAGTGATTTCTTTTTTAGTTTCCCATAAGTAGGGTAGGTAGGTAGGTAGGTAGGTAGGTAGGGGCAGGGCAGGGGCCAGCCAGGTTTTTGCAGAATTTCATCATGATGTCCGGCCAAGCAAAAAAGAATACACCCGAAAAAGGAAAAAGAATTTTACAACAAAACTCCGTCGCACAACACTGGGCACGGGACTGGCGCGCACTGGCACTAACACAAACACAAACACAACATCTCTCTCTCTAACACAGGAAAAAGCATGCAAAAATTCTTGCCGCCCCGACAAACGCCCTGGGCCAGGCTCTTGCAGGCGGCGATGCCGCGGGCGAGAGACGCGAAGGTTTGGAACACGGACCTGGCTGCCGCGTGCGAGGCGCGACTCAACGACGCGATCCAGAGGAAGCACCAGAGCGAGTTCTCCTGGCGGCGAAGCCGCGATCGGATCGTCGCGCTCGACCAAGAGATTTACGTGCAGAAGAACGGCACCATCGTAAATCTGGACAAGGCCGTCTCGCCGGTTGAACAGAAGCGGATCTACAATGAGCTCGTGCGAGTCATCGAGGGCAAGGCCGACATCGGTGGCGGCGGCGGCGGCGGCGGCGGTGGCGGCGGCGGCGGCGGCGGTGGCGGCGGCGGCGGCGGCGCGCCTGCTGGTCGTGGATCGATGCAGTACCTCGACACGATGCAGTTCCGCGGTGGAGGCTACGCCATCCTCTGCGCGTTCCACTTCCACGCCGACCCGGGAGCCCAGCTCACGATCGACCAGATCTGCGGCTTCGCGGCGCCATACTGCAACGAGGAGATGCGGCCCTCCTTCTACAACCCCGGTGTGCGCGGTCTGTACGGCGGCTGGAAGTGCCGGGAGCAGCTGCTCAAGTACAAGCTGATGGTCAAGACGGCCGGCGCCGCAACCATGGGCCCGGCTGGCTGGAGCAGCAGCAATCACATGTACATGCTCGTCGACTCGAACGCTCGCCCGTTCATCAGGGCGATGCTCGAAAAGTGGCCGACGGATCGAGTCGGGCGTGGCGGCGGCGGCGGCGGCGGCGGCGGCCGAGCCGGCTCTCGCGGTGGCGGCCGAGCCGGCTTTCGCGGCGGCGCCTTCAGCGGCAGCGACGACAGCCTTCCCCCGTGCAGCCACCACGTGGGAGGCTGCGTCAGCATCGCTCGGCCCGGCGCGCTGCTCTGCGAGGCGCACGCCGAGGAGGCCTTCCCGGACTACGAGGACTGGAGGGCGGAGGCTCGCCGCCGTGGCGTGACGGTGATCGGCGGCCGTGGGCGGGGGCATACCCCGGGCGGCGGCGGCGCAGGAGGAGGCGGCGGCGGCGGCGGCGGTGGCGCTCTGCCGCACCTCGACTGGTCTACGGGCTTCGACGGGCGGCCGGCGCCGGTGAATCCGCACAACGCGAGCGACCGCGCCGAGCTGGAGAAGTGGGCCCGCGACCCTGCGACCGCTCTCGGCGAGATGAAGGACTTTCGCCTCTCGCGGGAGCGGAGGTGGTACCTGCACCAGGTCTGCGATTCATTAAAATTAATTAATTAATTGATTAATTAATTGAGCGGAGGCGGTACCTGCACCAGGTCTGCGATGAGCTCAAGCAGGAGGGCATCTGGCTCGCTCACGCCTCCTCCGGCTCGGGAGCCACCCGCAAGCTCCACATCCGGCTCGACCGGCGCGGCGGGAGCGCGGGCGGGCGCGGTGGCGGTGCGGCAGCCCTCCTTGCGGGGCTCGGGTCGGACCTCGGGCCGTCGGCCGACGCGCTGCTCACCGCGAGCGCATCGTCCGGAGGGCGGTGGGCCGAATCGTCGCGCACGCCGATGCCGACGCCGATGCCGTCGGCGGGGGGGCACCGCCTCGGCGGGCCCTCTTCCCGCAAGAGGCCGGCAAGCGCCACCAGCGCGGCGGCGGCGGCGGCGGCGGCACGTGCGGCGGCGGCGGCGGCTGCCCCACCGCACCACGCCCGACCCTCGCCGACCGAGCCCGCCGCCTCAGCAGCAGAGTGGCGCTGCCCTCAGTGCACGCTCCTCAATCCGATGCTCCTCGACGCGTGCAACGTTTGCGAGGCGCCGAGGCCGGCGGGCTCCCTCGCCGCCGCCGCCACCGCCGAAGATCCGCCGCCGCGGCTCGCGTCGCTACAGGCCCCTTCGTTGCGCACGGCTGCGCTGGCACCACCGTCCACGCCCCGCCCCGCCGTCATCTCTCTCAGCGACAGCGATGACGAGGTGACGGAGGTGGCGCCCGCGCCCAAGCGCCACCGCACCCCCACCTCTGCCGCCTCCGCCTCCGCCTCCGCCTCCGCCTCCGCCTCCGCCTCCGCCTTCGCCTCCGCCGCCTCGACCGGCGCCTCGACCGGCGTCATCTTGAGCGTGCTCGTCGATGAGCGCGAGCGGCAGGCGAACAGCAACCCCCTCTCCATCTACCTCAAGGTGAGGGAGGCGATCGGCGCCTCCGACGCGCTCGGCTTCCAGTGCGACGTGCGGCGAGAGTCGCTCCCGCTGGGGGACTTCGGGTGGGCGGTGGAGGCCGAGGACGGCTTGCGGCTTCTGCCCGCGCTGGTCGAGCGCAAGCGCGTCGGAGACCTCGTCGGCCGCTCGCGGAGCGGCGACCACATGGCACAGCTCCGGAGGATGGGCGAGGTGCGCGCGGGGCGCAGCTTCCTGCTCCTCGAGGGCGACCCTCGCTTCGCCGCAGGCTTCACCGCCTACGAGCCGCGCGGCGGCGGCTGCGACGACGATGCCGTGACGGAGGAGGCGGACATCCTGGACCTGGTGGGCGCGCTGCAGGTGGAGGAGCAGCTCGCTGCCAAGCCGCTCCTCTGCTCGCAGCCGTCCGACACGACCCAGCTCCTGGCGCAGCTCACGCCGCTCCTCTGGCACGAGCAGCGGGACGCGCCGCTCGACTCGCTGACGCCGCTCGGCGTGGCGCGGCGAGAGTGGACGGCGGCGGCGCAGCGCGGGAGGAGCGCCTCCCTCCGCCGCAAGCTCCTCGGCTGCGGGCTCGGCGAGGCGCAGGTGGAGCGAGTCGCCGGCCGGTTCGGCTCCGAGGCGGCCCTCCGCGCAGCCTACGGCTGCTGCGGCTGCCCCGCCGCGAGGGAGCGGCTTCTGTGCCCTCTGCTTGAGGAGGACCCGGACGACCCCTGCGCTGCCGGCGGCGACGCGCAGTGCTGCCGCTTGTCGCGGGCTGTGGGTTGCGCTGTCGTGGGTGCTGAGCCGAGGCCCGCACGGGCATTGCCACCATCGCCGCCGCCACCGCCGCCGCCAGCGAACGCTTCGGAGGAGGAGGAGGATGGCAGCTTGGTGGGGCGAGAGGCGCTGCTCACCGGACTGGCGGGGAAGCCGCACCTCAACGGCTGGCGGGTGACGATCGGCAAGTACAAGTCGGAGGGCGAGGCCAAGGGGCGGTACATCATCCGCGTGGCAGGCGAGAAGCTGGCCCTGCGGCGCGCAAACCTCCGGCTCGTGCCCGTGCCCGGCCACGAGAGCGAGCAAGACAGCGAGGGTACGGAGGCGGACTCGGACTCGGAAGACTTGCTCGAGCAGGCGTGCCGCGCGCACGGGGTCGCTGCTCCGGTCCCGCGGGTCAGCCGTGGGGGCGGGGGCGGGGGCGGGGGCAGCAGCGGCGGCGGCGGTGATGGCGGCGGCGAGGGCAGCAGCGGCGGCGGCGGCGGTGGCGTGCGTCGCTGCAGGCTGGTGCTCGGCTCCGGGCTCGCTTCGAGGCCCAGGTTCGGAGCCTTTCTGGATGAGTTCTGGCCAGCCGGCTGGAGCCGCGAGGCTGCCTCAGCGCCGCCTGGCACGTGGATGCAGATCTGGACGTCGCAGGGCGCTCTCTCCTCAGCCCTCCACGCCGTGCACGTGTCTTCGGCTGAGGCGCTCGTCGGCAGCTTGCGGCACTGCGTCGACAACCTGTCGCCGCGCGAGCGTGCCTCTCTTCAGGCGGTTGTGGCGCGGCCGGAGGAGAGGGAGGCCCACCCTCTCTTGCTCGACACGGCACGTGCCGCCGCCCAGCACTTCGCTCGCAGCTTGCCGGCGCCGAGCGACCCGCTGCCCCTCCGGCCCGGGGGACGGCGGCGGTGCTCGCGGCTGCTGGTGGTCGTCGGGATGGAGAAGGTGTGTGCCACCTCCCACGCCACCAGCTTCGGGGTCCTCTCCTCCTCCTCCCGTTGGCCCTCACTCGCAGCTCGCTCGCCTCTCTCAGATCCGCAACGGGCACGCGGGGCTCAAGAAGGAGTCGCCGCTCCTGCAGCAGGTAGCCTGGCCGCTCGCACGAGCGACACTGCTGGCGCTCCAGCTGGCGCCTGGCCCAGAGGGAGGGGAGGGCTTCAGTGTCCTCTCTGCGAGAGAGGAGTCGCACGTGCACGGGATTGTGAGAGGCTTGGTTCGCGCCTGCCACCGCCGGGCTCTGCTCGGTCTGCGCGAGGGGCAGCCTCAGTGAGATCCAGAGGTACGCGGCTACGGCCGTACGGGTGATTACGTTATCTTCGCCGCGCGGGAGGGGAGCGAGTGAGAGAGAGAGAACAGAGAGTGTATTCCTACACGCACGCCGGCGGGGACAGCGTGTGTCAGCGACACTAGCGTTTGCATGACCTGTGTACACGCGGATACATGAGACAAAACAGCTAGAGTGTAGGGGGCCATGGCTTCGAATCTCCACGCTCCACAGCTCTCACTCCCACCCACGACGGTTCGCGTGTGGTACACCAACCATACACATCTGCATCGCTGCGCTCACGGCTCAGCGTGCTTGCCATCACCGCATGGCGCGGCGGCGGGACATGGCGAAGGAGGCCGCGCCGCCGGACGTGTCCTGGCAGCAGCGCGGCAGCGCCGGGTCCCTGGGCGGCTCGGGCGGTCCCTCCTCCCACCCCACCCTCTTCAGCCACGCGTCCACGTACCCCATCGCCGGCCCGTTGCTCGCCCACCCGTCGGCGAAGCGGAGCATCAGCTCGTCGGGCAGCGCCCACCACTCCGCCAGGATCACCTCCGCCTCCGCGTCGCTCGTCGCCGCGAGGGACGCTGCCGCCGCTGCCGGCGAGTCGGCGCGCACTCGCTCCCACGCGGCCGCCTCGAGCCGCCGCTGCACTGCGCGCACCACCCCCATCATGTCCGAGTACCGCGCCCGCGCCAGGTTGAGGACGAACTTATGCGCCCAGTAAGCGGAGCGGCGAGACACGCTTCGCGGGTCCGCGTCGGCGTGCGGCGCGGGCACGGCTTGCGCGCCGATGTGCAGCGGCAGGAAGCAGGTGCCGTGCGCGGCGTGAGGACCGTACCATGCGACGCCGCCGATGGTGGGCGGGAGCCAGCCGCGCGCCTAAAGGTGGGGGGCGTGCGGGAGTGCACACAGCGCCCTGGGGAGCATCACTGTGCTGTCGTGCGATGCCGGGCCCGGGGCTGTGCTTTTGCGTGAGAAGCGCCTCTTCACAGCTCTCGGTGTGAACAGGCGGCCAGCCGCCGCGCCTGCACGACGTGGGTCTGCGAGGTGCGGTACAGCGCAATGGACCGCTCCCACGCGCCTCGCAGCTTTGTGACGCCCGAGGCGGAGTACCTGTCGGGGTTGGCGAAGGCGCCCGCCGCCGCTCCGGCGGTCATGTCGAAGGGCGTGCCTTGGTACATGTCGCGGTGAACTGCGATGAGGTCGAGTGGAGAAAGCTTGCGCCGCGTGCTCACAGTCGCTGGGTAGACGGGCGAGGGTCGCAGGTCGGAGTAGTCGCTCGGCATCGGGACGTCGGGCGCGAGCAGCCGGTACGCCCCCCACAGACGTCGGCCAGAGTAGAACTTGTGCGCATACTCGCCGTCGCTGTACACGCGTGTGAAGTCGAGCGGTCCGTCGGACGGCCTCCACCAGCCGCTCCGCTGCGCGATCTCGTGCACCGAGTCGGAGAAGAGAAAGTCGGGCTGGCCGCGCGTCGTCCGGTTGGGGAGGAGGTGGCGGATCGTGAACATGTTTGCGACGACCCCAACCTGGCCGTCGCCGACGCGCTGCGCTGCCCAGACGGCAGACTTGCCACTGTGGTCAGGCAGGACGTGGAAGATGAAGCCCTCTCTCGGATCGATCACCATCAGCGACTCGCCGGTCCCTTCGAAGCTTCCCGCACCGTAAAAGCCCTCCGCGACGGCGAGGTCTCCCATTAGCTGCACCGCCTCGCGTGCGCTCTTCGACCGCTCCAGCGCGATGCGCGAGAGCGAGTCGACAGAGAAGAGCGCGTGGCCTCCGTGGCCACGCGCCTGCGCCCCGAAGACGGAGGAGCACGTGGACTCGCCGATGCCGACCTGGTGCTCGTTGAGGATCCCGTACGTCGCCTCAAAGTAGCCAAACGTGTGCTCCACCTGCGGAATGTGGCCAATCGGCACCGAAGCGTTGAAGCCCGGGTTGTTCTTTTGAAGGTACGCCTCGACGCCACGATCGCCGACGAATCGAGGGAAATCCTCTGTGTCGTAGTAGATTGGCCGCGTGGCACCCGGCGCGTGGTCCATGGCCGGGACGTACACGACCCGAGCATCGGGGTTGCTCTCACCGTCGTCCGAGTGCGTCGCCATGACTGAGCCGTCCACGCTCGCGTCCTTGCCGACGATGAGTGTGGTGCAGGCGGTGGTGTGGCGCGCGGCCAGAGCGACGAGGAGCGAGGTCGCCCACATACCAGACAGATGGATCGGAGCTGGGCCCGCTGGGCACACAAGCGAATAGTCGGCGGCGTGGACGAACCAGTGACACCTAGGAGTCGCTGCACTCCAGGGATGGTATGGACGACAACCCATCCCCGGTCTCCGGGAGGCTGGGTCTGTCAGCAGGCGGGGGGGGTATGGTCTCGAGGTGGGTTGCATTGCACCATACCATACCCCGCAGAAAGTCAAAGTCCAAACCCTGCTGCGGTGGTACCATACCCCCCCACCCTTTGGGCCGCGAGGGTACCATACCATACCCCGGAAAAAGTTGGAACCCAGAGGCTGGAGCGAAAGGAAGAAATGGAGACCGCCTCTCCATACCCGGTAGGTCTCCCCTACACAAGTTCCAGATCTGCTCTCCACAACAGCTGCTGTCACTGATATCTGATTGTTTGTCCTTGGTCAGAAAGAAAGAAAGAAAACAGACAACCCAAACGAGGGATAGGGGAGGAGGACAGGGTCCCCACCTGCACGAGCAGGATTTTGGAAGGACGATCAGGGGCACAGGTGGGGCTCTCCAGCTCCTGAGACCTGACTGTCCTTGGTCACGCAAGCGCACGCCGCACGGTCGTCCATCACACGGCTACTCAATCGTGTTCGACGTCGTCGAACAATAACGGCACCGTGCTCGACTTCGCCCGCGGTCTTTATTTGACACGTGACTCACTTTCGTCTCCCCTCGGATCTCCATCTGCATCTCGACACGTCGACACGGAGTCACGGACAGGCGGGCGGGGGCCCGCCGGCGCCGCTCGCCTTCTTTCTTTGCGGAGTTCTTACTTGTTTGTGAGCAGCGCTAAGTCCCAGATCTGCTCTCCACAACAGCTGCTGTCAACTGACATCTGATTGTCTTGTCCTTGGTCAGAAAGAAAGAAAGAAAACAGACAACCCAAACGAGGGATAGGGGAGGAGGACAGGGTCCCCACCTGCACGAGCAGGATTTTGGAAGGACGATCAGGGGCACAGGTGGGGCTAAGGGTCCCCACCTGCACGAGCAGGATTTTGGAAGGACGATCAGGGGCACAGGTGGGGCTCTCCAGCTCCTGAGACCTGACTGTCCTTGGTCACGCAAGCGCACGCCGCACGGTCGTCCATCACACGGCTACTCAATCGTGTTCGACGTCGTCGAACAATAACGGCACCGTGCTCGACTTCGCCCGCGGTCTTTATTTGACACGTGACTCACTTTCGTCTCCCCTCGGATCTCCATCTGCATCTCGACACGTCGACACGGAGTCACGGACAGGCGGGCGGGGGCCCGCCGGCGCCGCTCGCCTTCTTTCTTTGCGGAGTTCTTACTTGTTTGTGAGCAGCGCTAAGTCCCAGATCTGCTCTCCACAACAGCTGCTGTCACTGATATCTGATTGTTTGTCCTTGGTCAGAAAGAAAGAAAGAAAACAGACAACCCAAACGAGGGATAGGGGAGGAGGACAGGGTCCCCACCTGCACGAGCAGGATTTTGGAAGGACGATCAGGGGCACAGGTGGGGCTCTCCAGCTCCTGAGACCTGACTGTCCTTGGTCACGCAAGCGCACGCCGCACGGTCGTCCATCACACGGCTACTCAATCGACGTGTTCGACGTCGTCGAACAATAACGGCACCGGGGTGAAATTCTCAAAAAGGTGCAGCACTTCTAGCCGACATCGACAAAAGTCCCTCTCTAGCCCCGCGGCGAGCGGCCCCGCCGGAGGCGAAGAAAATTTCGCCATCTAGCGCTCGCAACACATAGATTTGTGCATAAATCAACACCTCCAATCTTCGGGGGAGTGACGGATAAAGGCGTGCGAAATGAATCCGAAAGCAGCGAATCCAAGTGATGGCCCGCCGCAGGCGAAGAAAATTTAGGGTTGGGGTTCCCCTATGCCAAAGAACTCGGAGAGGATTTCGGCGGCCGGCGCCGAGCACAGCGGTTCGCGCTGCCTGCTCGCGCTGGTTACACCGTTGCTGTGGCCGTCTTCGTCCGTATTGTACACCGAGCTGGCGCCACAGCAGAGTACAACAACGGCTCGGACGAACTGCTCCACGGTACTACATCATCAGAGGGCCCGGCAAGGTCCACGGCGGAGCTGGCGGTGGTGGGAGTGGTGGTAGGAACGAAGGCGCACCTGTCGGCGATTCACCGCCGTTCGTTCCCGTCTCTCAAAGCTGGTTACACCGTCGATGCGCACATCGAGGCGCTCGTGGACGAGAGAGACGTCGCCTCCTCTTTCGTCCCGGGGCACTGTTCACGCCGGAAGGCCCCGTACACTGCCAAGTACATTAGCCTTCATCTCTCCTACCGCCGGCCGGGTGCAGCCGCCACCAGTGAGATTGTCCTCGACGTTGGCACCTGCGAAGTAATGAACAACAGGCAGTGCGTCATATGGCGCTATGATAGCCCTGCGGTGGACGTCCTCGACGCAGACGAGGCGGAGCTCATCTGCGCGGCGCAGATCGCCGACTGTCTCTCCCTCCCTGCGCGAGTGGTTGCACCACCCTGGATGAGGCATCTGGGCTGGGGCAGGGCCGTTAGTAGAGGAGGGCGACTGAGGGCGCGAGGCCGCCAATCGTCAAAGTCTGCTGCGACTGACTGTCGGTCACTGACTGAGCAATGAGCAATCGCATCGGCGGTTTCACTCACGCTCACAATCGGGTTACATCCAGGTCTCTGTGCGGGATGTGCTGGGGGGCTGCCCCCCAGTCGATTGCCGCATAGTTCGTCGATGTAACCCTACCAGAAAGCTGTATTCACACCTACCCTTCCAAAAAAAGAAATGTCCCTGCTTTTGTCGAAGATCCGGCGGGTTTATCGGAGCATCACCCACCGTGCTCGACTTCGCCCGCGGTCTTTATTTGACACGTGACTCACTTTCGTCTCCCCTCGGATCTCCATCTGCATCTCGACACGTCGACACGGAGTCACGGACAGGCGGGCGGGGGCCCGCCGGCGCCGCTCGCCTTCTTTCTTTGCGCGGAGTTCTTACCGTTGTTTGTGAGCAGCGCTGTGTGTGTGTTGATGCGAGTATTCTAGCTGATGTGAGTATGCCAAAAGGGGCTGACGTCAAACCCGCCTTGGGGACTTTAGAGCTTTGAGTAGGCCGCCAATCTCATCAGGCCGCCGCTGCCGCTGAGGCCGAGCAAGGCTGCCTGGCGCCGCTTGAGGCGCGAGAACTCTCGACTGATCCACTCGTGGATGTGATCGGGGTACGAGATGGCGGAGACCTGGTCGATGGCTCCCTGCTCCCACTGGCGAAGTATCACCTTGTACGCCGAGACGTGCGCGACGAGCTGCAGCAGCGTGGGCTCGATCGAGGTGCCCTCGAGCAGGTCCGCGCGCGCGATGATGAGGTCGGCCGCCTTGGCGCTCAGTGGCAGCAGCACCTCCCGAACCCACTGCCGGTAGGCGCATGCGGCCGGCCCATGCGGATCGCGCCGGACCGCCGCGCGAAAGTCCGCTGCGCTCGGGCACTGGTCCGTAGCACTGCCGCTGAACTGGCGCACCATCGCCTCGTACGAGCTCTTGCTCGCGGTGACGCACGCGAGAAGAGGCCCATACAGCGACTGCAGCTGCTGCGAGACGCGCGAGACGAGCGACTTGTGCTGCTCGGAGCGCAGCGTGTGCAGCGTCGTAAAGACGTAGGAGAGGCACGCGAGCAGGATCGGCATGACGGTGGTCGGGTCAAGGTTGGGCATGGCGGCGGTGTCAGATCTTCGTGGGTGTGAGACGCTGGCTGGTGTCAGATCTTCGTGGGAGGGACGGAGAGGGAGGGAGTGGCAGAGAGACGAAGCAGCGGAGGCCCGTGCCTAAACGTCCCGGGCCGGGCCAGCGCGCCCAGGGAGGGGTGATCGCGGAGCTATGAATGAACCAGAGATCGCCGTACAACAACTGCCACGCCGGTATAACGCTTCCCAAACACACTCGTACCATCCTTCGATTGCGCGCCCACACCCCACAGGTCGGGCCCGCTCGGGCCCCTGTGTGTAGACGCTATATCCTATCAACAGGTCGCCCTCAGAAGAGGTGATCGTTTTACAGTGTGAACCACACCTGCACATTCGCGACCACATGCACATGCTAACAGTGCTCGCTGCATCAGGTACACTCATCGCGTCCCTTGTCGTCGCGGACCGAGCCTTCCTTCGCGGGACAGCGGGCCTCCTGTAGCCCTAGGGTGTCGGCATCGTGCATGCGGCGGAAGAGTCCAGTGACGTTGATGTTGAGGCGCCTTCCTTTTGCTAGCACAGCAGCTACCAGGAAGCTCAGAGCCGTGCAGCCTGCCGCTACCTGACCTGCCGCAGCCTGCCGCTCTGTGCGTGTGTACTCACCTTCCACCACACGCGAGCAGCCGACCGTGCCGTATTGCCGCACCGACTCGTGTGTGGTTGGCGACCTCTCCGCCTTCAGATAGCACTGGCGCCACTTGTTGTACACGACAGCCACGCACGAGGCCCCATGGCGCACGCACAGCTCTTGGCAGCTGCGTCTCGTTTGCGCAGACATCGTGCGGCAGCCTGGCTTGTTCGCGGAGTTATGGCTGTCAGGCACGCAACGTCCCACATAGTTGACCCCGGCTTCGCAGGTGAAGCCGTCCACCGTCGAGTCGTCTGGCCCACTCCAGCGTGCCCACGAGTCGACGATCGCCGGCACGCGCATCCATAGCCGGCGCACCTCCTCGCGGTATAGGATGGAGAGCACGCCGTCCGACCAGCTCGCCGCCTTGAGCCGTCGTGCCGCCGGATGCCATGAAGTCCGTCGAGCGATGGCGCTCAGCGCTGCGAGGCTCTCGCCGCTCCACTGCACGGTCGGCAGTCCGAGGAAGCGACGGATGCGCGAGGCAGTCGCCGGCGTGTCGGCTACGACGCCTTCCATTCCGAGCACAAGCACCGATCCGCCAAAGCTTCGCTCCCAGGCGGCGAGCTTGTCCGTCACAAACCCGCGCGCGAGGTATTGTTTACAGCTGCCGCACCACGTCCCGTTGGTATGGTAATTCCAGCGGAGCCAGTCGCGCCGCCAGTGCCTCAAGCACTGTGAGCCATTCTCCGTGATTCCGAGCGCCGCAACGGCCCCCTTTGGCGCATACCACGGCTGGATGCTCGCCGCGACCTGGAGTGCGAGATCCGACGCCCTTGCAGGCCGCGCCGCTCCTGCCGTGGCGGCGTCCGAGCACCGATGCCACAGGTCTTCGAGCTCTTCTCTCACCGCCCTGTCGAAGCTGCGCAGATCGCCCGATGGCTCAGTCGGCACAAGCGATCCTTTTTGATTCTGCGCCCATGCTGCATAGGCCCGATCAACCGGGTCGCGCAGGGTGATGAGCAGCGCCGCCCGCGGCAGTGTAAAGTGCAGCGATCCCCAGATGTGAGCGTTTTGGAAATAGTCCGGCGACCCGTCCACAAGCCAGCCGTCTGAAGCATATTGGTCGAGGAGCTGTTTGCAGTGGACGGTGTCGCGATGGGAGCCTGAGCAGTCATTGTCCTCGAAGAAATGCAGCTCCTTTGTACGGTACGCTGGGTGTGTATTGGGTAGCCTCAGCGCCAGAAGCAGCACAGCGTGCAGCAGCGTCGTGCCTGCCTTCTGGACGCCAATGACGAGGGCGGACCGCGTACGGTTGGCGTCGTCGGTCATCGTCGATTCGGCAGCGCGTTGGGGTAATGGCAATCTCGAGCCTCACAATGTGCTCGCCCGGCGCGCCGGCGTTGTGCTTCAAAAAAGAAAGAATCCGTTGAGCTCCCCGGAGGCTGGATGTGCGGTTAATGACTGCACTCCAAGTGCTCCAAGTCTAGACAGGGTTGTGGCTCCACGGTTGTGTCTTTGCGATGGATTTTCTTGTCAGTGTCTTTTTGGCCACACGCATGCAAGCTGCAGCACGGCCCACTCGTGCCGCTCTCAGGCGCATCAACACCCTTGTGCTTGTCTCACCCGTCAGGGGCAAGATGTCTGGCCTTTACCTCAACCGTGTCTACGGCGACCGCCCGGTCAGAAAGCATGGGCCATGGCTGCACCGCTCCTGATGAGTAATTGGACCTAAATTGGCGAAACTCGGCGGGCACGCACGCACTTATCGCTCGACGCCCGCCGCCTGACGAGTGGGATGCGTGCGACTGGCATCCGGCGCAACGACGACCAGACGCTACTAGACCCCAGCGTCATGGCTGCATTCGGCCGAAGCAACGACGTCGTACGCTGTCGAGGAACAGATATCAAGCCGCGGCCCTACACCCCTCGAGAGAAAGACAAACAGGGGCGACATCGCGGCAACGAGCAGGATCACATGGGCGGGGCTAGGGCGGAGATGGCTCTCCTGCGCCTGCTCACCTTCCCGCCCGCTCGGGCGCTGCCGTGGTGTTGGCAACCCGCCCGGCTTGGACAGGGGCTGGTAGGGCGCATGGGCGTCACCGTCAGCTAAACTGAGATTTATTGTGCACATGGTTGGCCGGTCTACAATATAGATAGACACTTCACCTCCTAGTACCTAGAGCTCGTCCCGGTCCGCCACGGCCATCCTCGGCCTCCGGAGGATGGCCCCCGCCCCCCGGCCGCGGCGCGGTGCGGCGGCGTCACAAATCCCACGGCAGAGGGTGGCAGAGCACCGGGCGGGACCACGGGCGGGTGATCTGAGGTCCATTCATTCCAACTAGGCGTATACATTGCCTACCCAGGGCTATCACCTGGACCTATCAACAGGCGCCTGCGGCGCCGCGCGAGCTGCTATGCTCCAACGGTGACTAAAATCATGTTGTAGAATGTTACAATCATGTTGTAGAATACTCCTTCCAATATCCGGCCTTCCCTTCAATCTTGCATAGCATCGACGGCGCGAGTAATGCGACTTGCAGTGGCACAGGTCTACTCCACCCCCGACAGTATCGATGTTGCGAGACGCAGCTGGCTCGCCGGCGTCCCTGCCATCTTTGCCGGGGACCTTGAGGATTCTTCACGAAATCTGAGGTTTGTGCCTGGGCAGGACGCCTTTGCCCGTCGGTATGGGCCTTCGAACCACAAGTTTGACAACCGGCCCCTCGCGCTTATTCGGCTCGCCAACCGCACGCTTGAGTTTGACTGGCTCCTTGTCGGCGACATGGACACCTGCTTCCATGTCGACGCCTTGAGAGCTGCGCTGTCGCCCATCAATCCGGCTCGCCGGCACTTTCTTGGCATGCCGGCACCGCCGGGTCAGACGAGTTGCAGCAGCGGGAAAAGTATACTTGCGGGAAAATGCTGCTCTATCCAAGACCTCGTACACTTCTCCGACTGTGTGCTGACTGTGCGCAGAGCGCGGCACTTCCGCAACAGCTCCATCAAACACCCGCACGTTGCAAACGGGCGCGGTTATGTCTATGCATTTCCTCACGGGGGCGCTGGCTACGTCCTATCGAGCGGACTGCTCCGGGCCATCTCGGAGGCGCAATGGAGCACTTGCGAGTCGGAGCTCCTCGAGGGCGGCGGCGACCTGCGGGTGGGTGCCTGCGTGTACCACACCACCGGAGTGGGGCTGACAGAGCTACCTGGTTTGCTCGGGAATCTCAGCAGGCACAAGGAGGTCTGTCCGTTTAGTAAGAGCCGTGTAGGCCCGCACTTTCGAACTCGCGCAACCGCGCGGTGGGTGCTATAGTAGGAGGCCGCTGACGAAGTTCTGCATAGGCCATCAGCGCACAGCGCTTAGTCGACGTCTCGATGTCTCTGGTGTATCAAAAAATGCAAACCCTGGGTCTACAAAATTTCTTCTTGAACGGGCAGCATATTCTCCCTCTCACAATTCCATGGGCACATACACCGTCGACCTCGGGCCCGAGGACCACCGGGAGCTAGCGGCGCACGCGTTCGCCCCCTCGAGTGCGTCCCGCCTGCGCTCCCTGAAGCGCGTCTACGACCCCGGCCGGCTCTTTGCGCACTGCCTGCCGCTGGCGGCGGGGCACAGTTGTTTAATCCAGAAATAATTCTTTTTCTGACGCAGCCGCGGACTAGCTAGCCGCCTGATATATGCCCGAGCCGCAGCAGCCAGACGCGCGGAGCGCGCCGCTGCTTGACCCTGAGAACGCCGTGAGGTGCGACACCGAGGGCGAAGCAGCCTCTGGCCCGTCGCCTCAAGCCAGCGAGGCGCCGCCGCCGGCCACAAAGGGCTCCGGCTCCGCGGCTCTGGTGTTTGTGCTCTGGAACACGATGATGGGATCGACGCTGCTCGTGATGCCCTCTTGCTTCCGCGAGTCGGGCTGGCTCCTCGGCCTCGTCCTCGCGGTGCTCTGCGCCGGCGTCTCGCAGTACACGTGTGGCGTCGTGCTGCTGCACGGCATGCGGCTGCCAGACCCGCAGGCCGAGGTGGCGGACCTGGCGCACGCGTACCTCGGGCGGTATGGCTGGGGCGCCACGCTCTTCGCCTCGGTCGGCGTCTGCTTCGGCGCCGCGTGCGCGATGCACGGCTACCTCGCCACGTCTCTCAACGACCTGCTGGTCGACTCTCGAGAGCAAGGCGGGCTCGGCCTCGCCTCCGCGTGGACGTCGCTCTCGCCGAACCCTAAGGGCGTGGCGGCGGCGCTTGTGCTGGCACTGCTCCTCCCGCTCTGCTCGCTGCGCTCGATGGCGCTGCTCGCGCGCCTCAACGGCGTCGGCATCGCCTGCCTCTTTTTGATCCTCGCCTTCATCGGTGCCTCGGCCGTCGCAAACGGCCTCGCGCCAGAGGCGCTCGCGCCAGCCTCGCTCGCGCAGCCGTCGCTCAAGGTGCTCGGCACGCTCGCCCTCTCCTTCTTCATCCACTCGATCGCCATCACCATCTTCCGCGCCGCAGCCACGCCCGCGCACAATGCGCGCAACCTCGGCGCCGCCTCTCGAGCGCAGCCTGGGGAGATCGGCCGAGATCAGCCGAGGTGCACCCGAGAGGGAGCGAGATGTAGGCGCCGCCTATGCGCTCGTCCTGCTCACCTACGTCTCCGTCGGCGTCTCGGCCAACCTGTGCCCGCCGCTCGGCGACCCTCTTCTCTCGCCCGCGGGAGAAGGGTCTGCGGCCGATGCCAAGCCACCCGCCCCATTCGGTGGGAGTAGGCGACCCTGCCTCGCTCGAGTCTGCGGCGGCGCGCAACTCCTTCCTCTCCGTGCGCCAGCCGCCCTCGCTCGCCACGCCGCTGCTCGTCGCGCGCTTCGCCGTCGTCCTCCAGTGCGTCACCGTCTACCCGGTCCTCGTGTACGCCATCCGCACTCAAACTTTCTGCGCGCTCGTCTACCGAGACCCGTACCCCGGTCCACGCACCCGCCCCTCGCGGGCCGGACCCACTCAGCGACCGCGCCCTCTCACGCGCCCGCCGCCGTGCGCTCAGGCGCGCTCCCCGTCCTCGGCCTCAACGCGATTGTGCTCTGCGCGACCGCCGCCGTCTCCATTTTTGGGCTGCACATCGCCGACGTGCTGCGCTTCACCGGCGCCTTCGCCGCGCTCGTCATGGTGTACGCCGTGCCCGCAGGCGTGCAGTGGGCCGAGCTCGCCGCCGCGGCCAGGTCGAGCCGCCGCGCGCGCGCGGCGCGGTTGGCGCTCACGGGAGGGCTGCTCTGCTGCGGCTGCCTCACTGTGGCGGTGCAATTCGAGTGAGCCCGGTCTAAATAAGTAGGGGAGAAAATTGAGTTTTTTGGCTGTGTCTTTGGTGGCAAGTATGCGTTGAACTAAGAACTCGAAAGCACATTCGAAGGAGGAACGTCGGAGTGGAGGGGGGGGGGGCGGCCCCAGCTCCACCGAAAGCGGGCGGCGGTGTCGCCCGCCGGCCGCCGCCACACGCTCAACCCTCGCGCAGCAGCAGCACGCAGCTCACGCCTCGTACGGGAGCGGCCACACCGGGTTGCCCGTCAGCGACTCGTGGATCATCATGCCGATGATGCCCATCATCGCGGCGCGGCCTGGGGGCATGCAGAGGCGAGGGGTGGGATAGTGGCCGGGGGCTGGCCGTCGGGGCGGCGGACGGCTGTGGGATGGACAGCGCGACGGGGAGAGGTGGGCGGTGGCGGATTGGCGAGGGCGGCGAGGGCGGCAACGAGGAGCCGAAAGCACGCAAGGGTGCCGCGTTTCACACGACGGGAGCGGGGGGGGGGGGGGGCACCGTTGTTGCGCTCGGCGTTGAGCTTGAAGAACTTCACCTCCGGGTCGTCGTAGCGCACCCACGGGATGCGGTCGCCGACCACGTCGCCGGGCTCGAGGTTCGGGTCCTGCGCAAAGAGCGAGTTGTCCAGGATGGCCACGATCGCCACGATCTGGGCCCAGCCGGCCTGCGGCAGCGCCGCCCATGAGCCGAGCGTGCCGGCGGGGATATCCTCAAACTTGAGGGGCGGGAAGGAGAGGTACGAGCAGTAGCCGTCCCACTTGAAGTTGGCCGTGACAAGCACGTGCGTCACCGCCGCCATCGCGATCCGCCCGTGCTTGATCTCCATCTCCTGCCAGCGGCGGTACTTCTCCGGCATCTTTGTCATCAGGCCAAGCGGATCGTACACGCCGAGCGGGCGCGTGGTGCCGACGTCGCCAACATTGATGGCCGTCATGCGCGGCGCGGGCGCGCGCATGGGCGCGAGCGCAACGGAAGAGACGGCAGCAGACAGCATGCTTCCTGCGCGCGGGGAGCAAGCGGCGATCAGCACGCAAAAGCCGCAAGCAGAGAGATTCGGCGAATGAATGCGGTGGCGCAGCGGCCACCAGAGGGCCGTGCCGCTGCAGTGTGTCGCGGCGGGCCGTGTGCGGCCACGAGGCGACGAGCAGATGGGGCGCAGGGACGCAGCGCCGCAGAGGCGGCAAACGCCGTCGGGGTGTCGCCGCCGCCGGGTGCGCTGCTGACACCCGTGCCGCGCGCCGGACCCGCTGGCCGCCGCGCCGGGGGCTCTGCCGGGCCTCTCCAGCAGTGTGTCGTGAGCAGCAGCAGTGGTGGGGCGCCGTGTGTTTCAGCAGCTCTGCGATCGCCTGGGCCAGCTCTCGGAGAGGTGCAATTCAGCTCTGCGGAAAAGAAACACAGCGCTTTTCAGTCAACGCCAGCGATATTGCCACACGTGCTCGAATCCCTCTTGCCGCTGGAGACGGGGTCGAAGCGCTGCTGGAAACGGAGGTCGGAGCCAGACACAGTTGCAACCAGACACAGTTGCAACCGGCGGGATGGGGAATGGGACTTGCCGAGCCCGGTGCCTCTCAAGAAAGATCGAGACGGACTCCATGGACGGCCAATATTTGTTCATCAATTTTTATTAATCGATGCTTTTTGCACGGCTGAGTCCTCCCCCCCCCCCCTCCGCCCTCCCCCCCCCCCCATTCCCCTGCCCTCTCCCGCCACGCACGCCGTCCGAGCCCTCTCCGCTCTTGCACAGGAGGAAAATGGACAATTAATCAAATGGAAGCAAGAACCTTCCATTCTATTTCGCCGCCACCGCGGCGCGCGCGCCTTATCCGCGCGCGATATTAGTAGAACCAAACTTCTAACTTGTGTGGTTGTTTTGGAGCGGCCGCACTCTGCTCGCTACCCCCCCTGCACAACTAAGCTCATCCCTGCTGCTAGGGGGGGGGGGTCTGACCCCCCCAGCAGCAGAGCGCTCCTGCTGGGGGGGGGGGTCCCGACCCCCCCCAGCAGCAGAGCGCTCCTGCTGGGGGGGGGGTCCCGACCCCCCCAGCAGCAGAGCGCACTGGACCCAGCTCTCCCGCCTCCTCGCCGCCGCCCCCCCCTCTCCGCCCTCAATTCGTGTTTAAGCGGTACTCGTACGCTCGAGGCGGTTGTGTTCGCCGCGCCTTCGAGCCCAATACACCTTCGTCGTGTCGAGTGCTGGCAACGTTTACTCGGCAGTGTCGCAGTGTCGAGCAACACTCGGTGTCAGAGCGTCGCGCCTCCATCAGTAGTCTCATCACCGAATTGATTGCTGGCCTGTGGCGTATGACCTCGCGCGGATATCACCAACGACGAGCATGCGAAGATAGGGAACAATATCTTGTACAGCCCGCTGTGCTCCCCGCTGTGCCACGGCGTACGATGGGCTGCGAGAGCCGTATCTTCCCTTCTTGAAGCAGAGGAGCCGCGAGGCACGAGAGGCGTAGAAGAGAGGCTGGCGTGCCCCGCACCTCCCGGTTGGCAGTAGGAGGGCCCGCCGGTGAGACCACTGATTTTGATGCCGACTATAAACTCTCGCCACTGGAACGCATGCTACTTACAGCTGCTGTCTGTACAGAGATGCCAGCACCCCCCACAGGCAGAGCGCTCCTGCTGGGGGGGGGGTCCGGGTCCCGACCCCCCCAGCAGCAGAGCGCTGCTGCTGGGGGGGGGTCGGCCATGAGCTTAGTTGTGCAGGGGGGGTAGCGAGCAGAGTGCGGCCGCTCTTGGATAAAACGTATATAGAGCTGTCAAACGTTAACTTTGGGCCTAACAGTTGCACTATTGTTGGCTGAAAATCCTCAACGTTGTTCAAGTGTTCTCCCCAGCCCAAGCTGTTACTGTTTGTTACTGTTGTTACTGTTGTTCAGTGGTCAGCAAGCAGAAAATGCCAAAAAACCCGGGTAAAACCCGAAAATACCTGGGGTTTTCCAGGTATTTTCGGGTATTACCCGCACTGGACGCTGGAGATCGTCGTGGGTCACTGCCAGGCCTTCCTTATTGTTGTTCAGCTGGCCTAACGTTAGCTACTGTTGTTGGGGAGCCCCACTGTTGTTCTGTTGTTACTGTTAACACTAGCAACACTGTTCAGCTCTAACGTTTGACAGCTCTAAACGTATACAGAACTCCTGCAGCGCGAATGCGGCGCATGCCATGGCTCCTCCTATGCATGGGCCCCTATGGCGTGGCCGCTATCGAGTACCATCCTGCCCACATGGCGCCAGAGGGCCTAACGAGGCGCGCGTGCTCGCGAGCACATTGTTCTTCGACCACTCTCTTGTGCAGTTGTGCATCCAAAAGCGGGCCTGTGCTTTGTGGGTTAGACACGCACTCTCCGTTCACACACGAGACTCCAACGCCCTTGTCGCATGTCGCGGGGCGGGGTACCGGATGGGTGGCATTGAAGCCCGAGGGGTGCGGGAGGCGCACGGCGGGGGCCGGCCTCGGGGTGAGGGTGAGGCCGGCCGCCGCCACCGGGGGGGCCGCCGCGCCGTAGAGCGGCCCGTCGGTCTCCCTACCGGCGGTGCGCGCGGCCGCGCTCGAAGGCGCTGATTGCTCGGCCGCGCGGGGCCGGGTGACTCGCCCGCTGGGGGGGTGGTGCACGGGGTTTGCGGCGGGGTCCCCAACGTCCCCGGGGCGGCACGCCTCGGGGCGTGCCGCCGCGCCGCGCGCCAGGGCGGCCCTGATGGCGGAGAGCTCGGAGTCGGAGTGCTCGGTCTCTCTCTCTATCGTGTCGAAGAGGTCAGTTGCCTCTTTCCCGAGGTCTCGTGCTCGTGCCTTGCCCCGCAGGGTTCGGGCCCGCGCGAGGATGTGCTCGAGCTCCGCCCGCCTCTCGGGCCTGAGGGACGTGCCATCCAGGGCGACGTAGCGATCTCCCTTGTCTGAGGGAAGATCGCCTTCCGTGTCTGCCCCCTTCCCCACAGCCCGCTGCGGTGGGGTCACTGAGCCGCACCGTGCGGCGTACTTGTGCGTGTCGTGCAGCGCCGGGGGCTTGCGCGTGCGGAGGGCACGCGCCCCGGGCGCGGCGCCCGCCTGGACGCCGCCGCCCAGGGCAGCTGGCGTCAGGAGCGCTCGGCTCTGCAGTCGCGACCGCTCCTCCTCGAGGGCACCCCTGCCGGGTGCGCCGTACGCCTTGTCGCTCGGCGGCGGCGTGGAGTGCCACCGCGCGTAGGGCTCGCGGGCCTCTCGGCACCCCCTTGTCGGCCCTCGGCTTGCGTGGCTTCGGGGCGTCTCCTCGTTGCTACCCCTCTCTACGCCGCTCGTCTCGTGTGCCGATGAGCTCTCGCGCCATGGCTGCGAGGCTGTCCCCGTGGCACAGCCTCCCCTCTCGACACGAGGGCGAGCATCCGAGCCGCACCACCTTGGCGTTGCCGCGGCCGTTCAGCGCGGCCCGCATCGCCTCGACGGCTTCGTTCCCCGTCCTAGCTTCGTCAGAGCGTCGGGGGGCGATCTCCTGCGAGAAGGGCTGCCCGTTGGCCTGTCAGATGAGCGCTGGCGTGGATCTAGTGTTCCGCATGGCTGAGGCGGGAACGGTGCGCAGTCGGAGCCACGTGTCGAATGAATGCCTCGCATACCTGGTCGCGCAGCGCCTCGTCGGTGCCTCTCTTCCCCATGGGGAATGGGACTTGCCGAGCCTGGTGCCTCTCATGCTGTTGACTGGCAAGGGGCGCGGGACTATGTCCGCTCCCGTGTCACGCGTCTCAGCTCGTCAGCTTCCAGCGACAACCACCCTGATTGATGGCTCGGCGTCCCCCTGTCCGCCGCTGGGTGCGCCCCCGCTCGTGTCGCGCCTCGGGCTGGCGGTCCTCGGGGGGGGGTTGGCTGCCTCGCCTGGCGTGTGTCGCTGCAGCTTCCAGCCCTCGACCCCCCCATGTGACGGTCCCACTCCTCCCCGGCCCCCTCGTCGTCGGTAGGCTTCCTCTGGCACCGGCTGTGAGCGGTCGTCGCTGTCGTCGTCGTCTACGTCGTCGTCATCGTCTCCGTCCTTGCTCCCCAGCGGCGCCGCCCCTCCACGCGGGCGCGTTCGCCTTGCGCCACTCGGTGGCTGTCCACGTGATCGTCTTTGCTGCCTTCCTGGCATTGGTCGTCTCTCGAACCGCCACCTGCATCGCGGTGAGGCGCTCGCCGTCGCGCCCACCTCGCGTGGGGGCTGGTACGTAGACCGTTGCCGCCATTCTTGCACACGTGGCTGCTCCTTCGCGTTGTGTGGGGGCAGGGAGGGCTCCCGACGCCGACGCCCTGAACCGCCGCCACTGTTCGACGCTGGGTAGGTCCTTGCCCGCCGTGGTGAGCGCCGCGGCGACATCGAGCGCCTGTTTGACTGCTGCCTCCCTTGCAGGCGCTGCTGCCGCCACCCTCGGGCCGCTCGATGATGCCGTACAGCAGGGGTGCTGACCGTTTCGGCGCCGCATCGCAGGCACTGGTAGGATGCCTGCACCATCTCGCAGCAGATCCGGCCCGTCCCGACGAATAGGCTTCCGCCGGCATCGTCCCTCGGCTCCCGTGTCGCCCCCCCCCAAGCGCCGTCGCCGTCCTTGTCTGACGGGTGCTCGAGTTCGCGGCCAGGTCCCGTCGGGTGTGGGTACGGCGGGGATGGCTCCGGCTGTGGAGGGGTTGGCGATGGGTGCTGCGGTGGCGATGGCGGGAGGGAGAGTCCGCCCCCCCGCCTGGTCGGCTCGGTCCGGTTCTCCGGAGGGGCTCTCCCGCCGGTTGCACGCTGTGTCTGGTTGCAACTGTGTCTGGCTCCGGTTTCCAGCAGCGCTTCGACCCCGTCTCCAGCGGCAAGAGGGATTCGAGCACGTGTGGCGTGTCCGTGTGGGAGAAGCAGATCACGGGCGTTGACTGAATATGGCCCCGTGTTTCTTTTCCGCAGAGCTGAATTGCACCTCTCCGAGAGCTGGCCCAGGCGATCGCAGAGCTGCTGAAACACACGGCGCCCCACCACTGCTGCTGCTCACGACACACTGCTGGAGAGGCCCGGCAGAGCCCCCGGCGCGGCGGCCAGCAAACGCGCAAGGCGGGGGCGGCCGGTCCTCCCTCTTGTCCATGCAAACACCTGTGAGAAATGCGGGACCCAGCTGTGTGTCACGCCTAGCTCGCGGCCACCGCGCCGCCGCGCCGCGCGGCGCGCTCCGCCTCCCACCGCCCGATGACCGCGCGCAGGTCGCAGCGGGCGTCGAGCGTGCCTGCGTGCCCCGCCCCCTCCACGAGGTGCACGCTGCACCTCTGAGGCCCCAGCCGCGCCGCCAGCCGCGCCGCCTCGACGTCGCTCCGCAGCAGCGCGTCGGCGGTGCCGGCGACAATCAGCAGCGGTGGCTGCAGCGCCTCCCACCCCTCCTCGAGCAGCCCGCACCCGGCCCTCAGGTTGGCGAAGCGTGCGTCGAACCAGCACTTGGGCGGCTGCGACGAGATCTCGTCCACGAGATGGGCGAGCGCGGCGTCGTAATAGGCGGCGAGGGCGGGCTCGCTCTCGCGCAGCTTCTCGAGCTTCCGCTCCACGAGCACGTCCCGCACCGCCGTCGCGACGAAGCCTGCGTCGAACGTCTTTCGGCCGAGCAGAGCGAACGAGGCCGCCGGGAAGAGCGCCTGCGGCACCTTGCTGAGTGTGCGTGCGTCCGCCTGCAGGCTGGGCATCTCGCTGAAGGCGCTGGCGGGGTTCACGAGGACGAGACTGCTGACGAGCGACGGCTCGCGGAGCCCCGCCGAAGCAGCCACCACCCCACCGTACGACTCGCCCATCAGCAGCGTTTGCGGCGCGTCCGCCTCCCGGAGAAAGTCGAGTATGCAGCCGACCTCAGCGTCGATTGTCGCTGCCACCGGCTCCGCTCGCGCATCGTACACGCGTATGCGGTAGCCAGCATTCACGAGCGGTGGCCACTGCACAAAAGGTGAAGCGGTGGTGCCGTCGAGGCCGGGGATGAAACATATCAGCGGCGAGGCGGTGGCGGCTTGCGGCGCAGTGTCCACAGGCAAGCCAAAGCGGCTCACCGGATCGTACCATAGCGAGAGCGGCGCGAGGAGCGAGAGGGAAAGCATCCGGCACGTTTTCTGCGCTCTTGGCCACCGTGTGTGGCGGACTTCGTGCTGCGGAGCTCAGCTCAACTAGGCTCTCTATCACTTCCATCGACGGCTGCAAAAAATAACGCGGCACTCAGCGGAGCTGGGAATAGGACCGCCGCAAGCGGCGTGGCGTGGAGCGGTTGCGCATCCCTCCGGGGGCCCCTCTGCGCCGGGGAGGCGTTGTTGGAAGCTAGGACGCAAGCGTCCGTCGCCCTTTTCAAACTCGGGGGCTCGGGGCCCACTCGCTCCGCTACGCTCCGACCCGAATTTGGAGGGCCTAAAAGTTTAAGGTGTTGCTGCGCAAAAGGGGTCGGACACAGGGCGCAGCTCATGCCAAGAGCTAGAAGGGGAGCTAGAGAGAACGACTTAGGGGACCCCTAGGCTTAAAAGGGTGGGCCCTGGGGCGCCTGCGGCTTAAACGGCTTAAAACGGGGCCCGGGCCCATTTTAAGGCTGCCTGGGCCGCCGATTCTTAAACGGTCTTAAACGCTTAAACGGTGCGGGAGAGCTCCCGAGGACGATGGTCCGGGAGGCTCCCGGTAGACGCCGTAGGCCGGGAAGCTGGCTACAGTCAGCTAGCACGCGTCCCCTATGCGAGTATGGCTCCTGCCAGTGCACTAGACTTACAGATGTGTCTTCAGAGGCGGGTTTGTGCCTAATAACGGCATTGGACAATTGGAGAAAACGGCGCGGAACCCAGCGACGCATGCCGGCGAGGCCGATTTTCTTAAACGGTCTTAAAAGAGGGACCCCCGTGCCTGCAATCTCTTAAATGGCAAGTTAACCCCCCAAACCTCCTCGTTTCTTAGAAGGTCTTAAAAAAATCCGGCCCTCAGAACCCTAGGGGTCCCCTAAGGAGAACGACTACCCTGTCCCGTTATTGCGTACACCAACACCACAAAAGCTCAAACAAAACAAACAAAACAACTCCTCCTTACTTCAGCTGGCATGTCGGCTGTCGGGCGTCTAAGGCTCGCGGCCGCCGTGCTGCTGATCCTGAGCGATCCTGCGCTCGCACTCGCGCAGAGCACGCGTGCTCTGCGCCCCGTGGACGCCGCGACAGCGGAGTCCCACGTCGGCGCTGTCCGACACCCACTCCTCGGCTCGACGCTCCAAGAGCTGCCAGCTCGACCCGCTTCAAACATCTGCAGCGCGGTCGAGCCGGTCCAAGCTATCGTCGAGAAGCCGCGCGCTTCGTCTCCGCCTCAACGCCTTTCGCCGGCAAGGCCTTCGATGTCCGTGTCGACGGTACGTACGCCACCGCCCTCTCCTCCGACACCCTCCAAGACGAGCTCCAGCGAAAGCTCGGCCTTTGGCTCTCCGCGGCGCTTCCCACCCTTCGGGTCGCGCTCGAGCGGGGCATGCCAGTCGATTTCTTCGGCGACTACCTTTACAACAAGGCCCACCACCGGCGGCCCCACGACGGCGTCCTCGCCGCCTGGGCGGACGCGATGCGCGCCCCGGCCAACGCGCCGGTCGTGCACGGCGACAAGGAGAAACCAGAGCTCACCCGGCAGTACAACGAGGGGTACAAGGTCGACCTCGCGGAACCCCATGCGGGACCGGGAGGATGCGATGACGTGAATGAAATCAAGCTCTGGACGCCCCTCCTCAAGACCTCCTCGCCGGGCGTTGGCAACGCCTCGAGTGGCGGCACGCCCGCCTCCGTTGGCCACTCCTACGCCTTCGGCAACACCGAAGAAAAGGCCCGCCGCCTAAACATGGGCTGCAAGGCGCGCGGGCAGCCCGGCCAACCCTTCGACCACAAGACCGGCCACGGCTACGTCAAGGCGCATCGCGGTTTCTACCACGACGCGATCTTTGTCAAGCGCAACAACTTCAACCTGCTGCTCCACGAGACGTTCGGCGGCGGCTTCTCGCCCACCGCCGTGCTCAAGCTGCGCCGCCTCGCGCGCAAAGTCGCGCGCGGCAGCGTTGACCGCACGGCCTACTCGCCCAAGTACTCGCTCTCTTTTATGTCCCACCATGCAGAGCGCATCTCTCTCTCTGTTGTGCGAGGCGTGAACCGCGCCATTCGCTCTCACCTGGCAACCCTGTCTGCACGTCTCGCGCGCGCGTGAACAGGGCTCCAGGCCCCAAATTACGTGTGAGTGTTAGAGTTGTTTGGTATTGCTAAAAATCTCTCTCAAAAGCTCTCTCTCTCCTGTCCTCACTCATATGTCAGGGGGGTCACAACTACCGAGTCCCTCGACTAGCTGCCACGTTGCCGACCGAGAGCGGATCTCCTCCTGCTCCGCAAGGAGGGTGGCCAAGGCTAAAGTCTTGCCGGAGCCGCCGGGCGCGTTGACGACTTGGAGAAGGTCGCCCTTGTACTTGCACTTGTAGAGATGCTCGAGGGGGTGCTTTGTGGGGCGGTGCGCAGCCAGGCCAGCAGTGAGGGGAGGCGCACCCTCACTCTCCTCGGTTGCAGAGCTCGTCGGAGGCTGCGGCACGACGGGAGGGTCGCGATAGCAGTCCTCGGGCGAGCCGACGCGCATGTCCAACCAGCGCTGGGACTCGTTGTGACGGCAGACGCCGGCTGCCTCTCCAACCGCTTCTGCAGCGTCCTTCTTTGCCCGGTGCATGGGCTCGATCCGATTCCGCAGCGTGTCGTCCCCAGCGGCGGTGCTGCGCGGGAGGCGGCCGCGGGCACGCTGGGCTCGATCAGCGGCTTTCCCTTAGTTGCTCCGAAAGCACGGATTTGGCGGACGTTCCGGGTTTCAATTTTACGGATATCTTGGCACCAGCTGAAGGCTTGCGCCCGTCCACGGCTCACATCACGCAGTTCGTGCACGGTATTCGGATTTTGCTATTTGCTCGTGTGGGGGTATATTGCAGATTTGTCAATGGTACCGCGCCTGCGACGCGGGCGCCTTGCGGGCAGAGCCCTTAGCCACCCTTCATATCTTGCGCGGTCATTATAAGACGCCCTACGTTTCACTGTAACTGATACATGTACTTTGTGCGGGATTCGAACTCGAGACCCAATGCAGTTTTGCGACCGGTGTATCAGTCGCCTTATATGCCACCGTTGCATATCCGGATATGCAACGGTGGCATGGATATGCAACGGTGGCATAAGGCGACTGATACACCGTCGCAAAAAAGAGGAGTGACTCTTGCTCAAAGTAAGTGCACAAAGCTCAAAGCACAAAGGGTGGCGCGATTTCGGGCTTGGTGTCCCTCGGCGGCAACTCTGCATTTCTCAGCGGCTATACGAAGCCGGCTCGGCTGTCGGATACCTCTGTGTCAAATGGGTGCGCATGCTCGTGAAGTCACCTCAGAGTCGCGCCTTAGCTTTGCTATGGTGCCAACATTGATGGTACTCACCACTCGTCAACAACGACCCGCTGTTGGTTACGCACGGCATCGCGGCAGGTGGCAAGGTCGCTTCACTGATTGTCAAGGTCGCTTCACTGATTGCAACAGACGGTTCCGTGCTCGTGGTTGCGTCCCCGCTTGCTACAAACTTGCTCCTTGGCCGCTGCCAACAAGGGCCCGGCGCCGCCGATTACTGGGGGCAAGGGCAAGGGCAAGGGCAAGGGGCGCGGGTAAGCGAAAAGTCGGGGTAATCCATCGCGATCGAGCCCGAGACCTTCTCTTCGACCTTCTCGCGGGACCGTGACCTTCTCGGGAGAGCGATACAACCGGTGGCCATACAACATGTCACACGAGGTCGAACGATGTTCCCGCGTCGTTCCTTTCTTCAGATGTCTGTGTTAGTGTGTAGATCTCGCGATGGTTGCAACTGAAAAGACCTCCAAGCCATGGGAGCCCCCCCCCTACTCTTTGCGCCCGAGATCACAGTGGGAGTCAGAAATGTGGTCCTTGCGCGAGGGGAGCTAGATAAACTCGAGGGGCCAAATTATGCCGCGAGGAGGGCGGAGTTACGTAGAGAGGCGAGAGAAGCAGCGAGAGCAAGGCAGACGGCAGCGGCGTCTCAGAACGAGGCCGAGGAGAGCGATGAGTCAGAGGATGAAACAGCAGGAGAGAGAACGAGGACGAGAGTGGGAAGAACGCGAGGTGGCATGAAGGTTGCTGCGAGAATTGGTGAGAAACTGCGAAGAGAGATAGGAAGTGGTAGACGCCCGAGGGTGGGCGACGGCTAGCAGACCGCACTCTCCTCTCTCGTCTTCTCTCCTTAAATCCCCTTCTTTTTTTATATTCGTTTGGTTTGTCTGTTTTCTGTTACTTTCTCTTTCTTAAAGAACCCTTTTTTCCAGTGTATGTGGCTCTTACTAACATACCCGAGTTTTTCTAAGCACTAATACCGCGAAGCGAAGATAAAAAAGAAATTCGGCGTCCAAGAATTCATTGTCCCGCATCCTCTACAAAGACCTAAAGTCCTTACCCCGCCGAGACCGTACCCAGGCTTTCATCGTAAGAGACCTCCTAGGATGGCAGTAGCCGCATGCGCACCAACCGCTCCATCAGCTCGGGCAGGTCGGCTGTAGCGCTCGGCCGGACCTTGCGCCAACCAACGACGCGTTCGCACAGCCTCCACGCCCACCGCTGCGAGGACCACCGCGTGGCGTCGGCCCATGTTGCCAACGTGCCGCCTGCTGCGGCCGCGACGGCTTGTGCGCGCTCGTAGCCGGCTGCATGCTCGTCGTCGCCACTTTCGAAGACCAGCACAGCCGCACGGCGAAAGCCATGGATTGCGTACACGGGGAAGGCGTGCGTCGCAGTCTGGTAGCACCGCAGCAGCTTTGTGCGGCTGTCATCCTCCGCACTCAAGCCATCAACGCACACCATGGGAGGCCAGATTATCTGCAGCAGATCTTGGCTCGACCCTGCCTGGGACACCCCCGTCGTGGCCATCGCGTGCACCATCTCCGACTCGCTTCCGATGGCGGCGAGGTGAGCCTCGTTCGCCGAGGCCCGTTTTCGATGCTTTATGCTGAGGGCCGCAGTGCCTGGCTTTTTGATTCTGCGCTTCCGCTCGATATCCGCAGCCTTGCCTTGTTTGCGCTTTCGTGCCATCGACTGCGCTGGTGTAAGATCGGCCGCCTCCGCTCGACCCTGCCACACCACGCCGAGGCCCACGCGCGCACGTCGGGGATACTCGCGCGTGTATCCTCCCGCTGTGGACGCGTGTATCCTCCGCTCGACCCTCCCGCTGTGGACGCGTGTGGCGGTCCGCGTACGCGGCAGCAACTCCCAACCAGCCGTCCCCCCCCTAAAGCAAAGGAGAAACGAGCGCTCAGACGGACCTGCGCTCCCTCGTGTGCCTGCCGGGTTCTCTCCTGCTTTCTGGCGCATCCCACCGTCCACCCCATGCGCCACCTGTGTCCTGTTTGCATTTTTTGTGTGCCGCCACGCCCGAAGCCCTGGGCTTCCGGGTTCCGGCCTCTGCGTGCGGCGATTCTTTCATGAGGCCCTCAATAGATCAATTTATGAAGGCAAAACAATGCAGAAACGATGTCGGAGAAAAGAAACTTCAAACCCAACCCGAGGTCTGCCTCCCGCCTCCTGGCCTCCCGACTGCCACCCATGACTCCCGACCTCTGCTTCGAGCCCTCCGACTCGCTCCCGCCTAGCCGTTACGTGCTGCTCGTGTCCGGCACGATGAGCCCTCCGCACGTTGGTCACGTGCGCCTTGGCCTGTCCGCGGCCGCCGCGCTGCGAGCCGACGGCCACTCGGTCGACGCCATCTGCTTCCTTCCAGTCCACGACAACTACCTCTGCAACAAGGCGCGATGCGCCTCGCAAGCCGCTGCCCGCCGTCATCGTCGCCACATCCATGTCGTTGCCATCGCCCACAGGTGGCCGCCAAGTGCTCGTCCGGCGCGAGCGGTGCCGACCTGCTGGCCTTCCCGATGTGCGACCGCTGCCTTCTGCTGCGGGCGCTACTGGCGCGCGAGGCAGCCGGCGAGCTGCTCTCGCGCTGCCACGTCCTCGAGTACGAGCACTCGTGCGGCGGTTCCCTCCTCGAGCCATCGCCCGGCTACTGGGTGCCGCTCCCGCCCGTCCGCGGGGCCGCCCGCCCGCCCGCCCGCCCGCCCGCACCGTCTCCGGGGGCCCGCCGCCCGCACCGCCGCCGC